CTTTTTAATTTTTATTGATTTTACATGTTTATGTATATATGTTAATTGATAGTTTAATTAGTATAGTTTAATTTTTAATTTTTATTAATAATAGTTCAACTTAATTTATTAATTTATTATTTATTATTTTTTATAATTTTAATTAATTATTATCAAATATAAAAAATAATTTTAAAAATTAGAAAAACAAATTGGGTAATTTAATTTAGTAATTATTTTTGCCGAAAACAAGAGGAGGGGAATTAGGAAAAATTTTGTTTCATGAAGGACGTGTTACAATTAGCAGATACTCGATCCCAAGTTCATTCTCACAGTTATTAAACAATTTCGACAAATTACGTTTTCTGATATAAATTTCCGCCATTTGGCTTTTTCTTATTTTTTGCCTTTAAGCCTTCAAATTAGAAAGTAATCAACATATATACATATACATAAAGGATACATATCGAAAATACTTATTTTCCAAGTGAGGTAATTATTCTGTCATCAAGTTTACCGACCGCAAGAGCGCATGTCAAGTTTATTACTCGAGCGTAAAACATTTTGGAATCGCTTTGTTTAATAATCTAATTAACTATGACTTTCTGGTGCAAATTCCATTTCAAAATAAAAAAAAACTAGCTCAAGGATCTATAATGCACTTTTGATATTTTTTTGTCAATTTCATCAGTGCAAATGATTCATCATTGGTTAATCATGCGCCTACGATTTATAAAAAAAAATTTGCAAATTTTTCGGAGAAATTATTATGCATGGGAATTACCTCTGTGTGATGAAATTCTTGAGAAATGATGTAATTGATTTTGCAACATACTGAAAATGAGAACAGAAGACATTTTTTTTCCCAAAAATAATGAATTTCAAGAAAAAAAAGTTACATTTTTTTATAATAAATAAATGTAGAATATAATTACAAAATATAAGATTAAAAATTCGGAACTATTGTCATCGTGTTTCCCCTAATAATTTTTAGGTTATGAGTTCCTAAATTGATACCGACAAGCTTACCAACCATTAAAATAAAAAATTCCAAAAAAAGCGCGAAATTTAAAAATCTATTCATTCAGTTATAATTCTAAATATTTTTTACCCTCATTATCGTGGCATAATTTAAAAATAATTTTTCATTATTTATAAATAATAATATGAATAATAATATTTATAAATAAGTATTTAATGAAAAAAAATTTTTAATTAAAAAAATGTTATAATTATGCTTTTGCATACACCAAATAGAATGTTGAAATTTCAAGAATTTGGAAAATGTTTACATTTATATTGAATATTTATACAAAACTGGACTGAAGTAGAGAAAAAATTTCTCCGCGTGCATAAATTAATGTTAATTTCCGTAACTATTTAACAAAATTGATAAAATGAAAAACGATGTATAAAATGAAGTGACAAGCATATAATATAGCTAATCGGAAGTGCAATATAAAATGTCCAAGTGATCTAATCAAAAAAATTTTTAACGAAAAATAAATTTAATCGCGTGCCTGAACATATAATATCAGGAATAGGCTTTACTTGATCTTTGTGTACAAGAATTAATGTTGTGTGCACATTTCAATATATATAGTAATAGAAACGAGTTTATGTAAACTTGATTGTCGATTTAAATTGAAAATTAAATAAAGGAACAAACATTATTTGCTTAAATTACAAAAATATTAATAAAAAAATTAACATTTGACAAATTTTAATACTGACATTTATATTTTCATTTCGCTTTGAAAATCATAATTAATTAAACAACTGTAATATCTTATATTTTTCATATTCAATTCTTCGCACCTAAGATGATGTTAATATATAATAATAATTGCAGAAAAAAATAAAACATGAATTTTATTTGATAATAAATTTTCAATATGCATTTATTAAAATTATTTATCGTTATTTTACAGAAATAAATTTTATTCTTGATTTTAAAATATAAATAAAATTTTTATTTTCTATAATAAAAATTTCTATTTAAAAATGAAATTTATAATTTTATATCTAAAAAACAATCAAAATTTAATTATTTAAAAATAATGAATGTAAATTTAAAAAAATGTGATTCAAAGAATAATTTGAACTATATTATTATATTTTATGAAAGTGTGATTATTGAACATTATAAGGAATAATTTTAACACGCTTATCAGTGATGCAATGTTTTGTCGTTAATATAGTCCTTAGAATAGTTTCTTGTTCTCAATCTAGAGTGCAAATCAAGCGTATCATCGCCTCTATATGCTGCGAAAAAAACTTTTGAAATTCTGACCTCGACTTTCATTCAAGTCTATTTTTGATATACGCTTGAAAATCATTCACAAGTGTTTATATCAACAATTTCCGGTATTATTAACATTTTTCATTGCGATAATGAAAATTCTTTTGATAAACTTCTTGAATTTTTTGAATTAATAAATAAAAAATAAATAATAATATTAATAATAATAAAAATAATAATAATCATAATGATAATGATAATGATAATATAGGTACTATAAATAATACCTAATAGTAATATGTTAATTAATTTTTTAAACAAATAAATTCAAAAAATATATATTATAAATGACGAAATTTCTGATAAAGAAAATGAGCAATAATAATTAACTACTATCGTGAAAGGAATAAATTGTATTCAACACTAAACAATTTCCCAATAAAGAAAAAGAAAATTTGTGACCATTAAACGAATCTTTTTTAGTCTGATAACAATTATCGGCACCTGAAAACAATTTAATAACCTTATTCACAACCGATCTACTATAGTACATATATATATATATAGGAAAAGTTATACACGCGGACATTCTTAACTGTTTTTACGATCAAGATTTTTTTTATCCGCCTCCAATTGGAACACCTGAAATCTGTATCTTTTATTTAGTATCGAGAAAAACAGTTTCCGTTTTATATATATATATATATATATATATATATACAATGTTACAAATGAAGAAAAAAAATTAAAAAAAAACAACAAATGAAAAAAAAAGAATGACGTTACAGATATGCATCAAAAGTGAGAACCGAAGAGGTAAAAGAACAGAACATACGTGACTTGACTTTTACACGCGTCTCTTGTATATATGTACTGTTATAGAAGTATTTGCATTTTGTAGTAACTCTCACACAGACAACATAAGGAAATTATTCGATTTTATGCTCCAGGAGCAATAAAACACAATACACGTTTATACACTCTCATTTAGCAATCAAAGTTAAAAGAACTTTAAACCATCAGAGATCCTTGAGAATTGAGTAACGCATATATACTACATTTAAAGAATGACTTTCTATTTATAATAAAACGGATTCAACAAATGATTAATATTCATTCTTGCGGTTTTTTTTCAATGTCTAGGTCAATGAGAAATTTACTATTGTTTCTAATTTTTTTTTTCTCTATCCTAACTAAATTCTTTTCACTCTCTTCTTTTTCACACACAATATTCGAATAATTATTAATTGTCATATTGATTAAAAAAAAATTATTAATTAATTAATTATAGTGTTATATAAAAAAAATTAATAGCAAATTGTATTTCTTTAAGATCTTTATTTTAATTATTTAACAAATTTTTTAAATAAAATTCTTCACTGTAAAACGAGAGGTATTAATTTAATACCAACTTTAGGTACTAAATTGCCTTTTGGTTCTATTTTATTAATACCTAAAATTGATACTATTTTAGTACCTTCTTTTACAGTGTTTTCTAAATTAATTAATTTTAATAATTTTAATGAAATTCTTTACAAATTCAATTATTCTAAACTATTTTTCAAATAAAATTTTTTTGAAATTCAATTTATGCGATATTCAATTCATTAAAATTTTAAAAAAAATCAAAAAATAAAATTACCGAAAATTCCAATTCAAAATCACTTGAAAATTGAAATTCTATTAATTTTAAAAAATTCCAATTAAAAACCTTCTAAAATTGAATTATTTCTGAAATTTCTCATGTAAGTTATTTCCATTGAGGAAAAAAGTGACTAAAAATATGTTTATTAATAAGAGGAAAATAGAAATTTTTTTTTTTTTAATTACAAAAGGTATAAAAAAAGTTGACAGGATTTAATTAAATTGTAAAATGGAAGTTCTCAATTAATTGTATGAGATGCTGAGAAATGTGATTAAGTGTCACTATATACGCAATTGAGTAATTAACAGTAGATTTCGCGTATTTACGCGCGGGATTCCCACAGTAGATAAAAACATCTTTCCCTTATTTTTTTGCACAATATACCTGTTTCCGTGGAAGTGTCAACACTTGAAAAATGAGACAAATGTTATATTCTCTTTCTCTCTTAGACTTCCTCTCAATTTATATCGAATTCCAGTGCATCTGTTTTTTTTTTGTTTTTTGTCGTGAAGCAATTAAAATACCAGTTCGCTAACGAATTAGGAAATAATCGTCACTATTCGAGAGCGCGCGCGCTTTGTATCAAGGTCTATTAGTCATTTAACGAGGTCGAATCTATAGTCTATATAAGTGCAATAATAATAATTAGTAGTAATAACTATGAATAAATTGATTTTAAACTGATCTCGTTATCATTTAACATGATGTATATAATTATTGTAATTTTTTTCTGCACTTTTCTAAATCTTTCAAAATTTTTTAAAAACTATTTTCCCTTTTTTTAAAAAAGATAAATTTTATCTTCACCTGCAGATTCGTCATCTAAACAATGACTTTCCTTATTATTTAACTGTGGTTATTGTTCATATTTATTTGTTTCAATTTTTATATTTTCGAAAAGTTTATGAAAATGATAACCAAGAATCTTTGACGACATATAACCAGTATCTATTTTCATATAATAATTTATTATCAATTCAGTATTGAGAGCGCGCGCACGAACGATAATAAATTATCCAGGCGTAATTTATATAAAACTGATGCCAAGTATATAAGAATCGTTGGATTATCTAAGTTTTCTGGTCGAAAACTCGCAATAACAGCGACTATGTGTAAATGTATTTATATAAAATAATGGATAAGTATGAGAGAGACATTGGTTCCGGAATTTGAAAAGTCTTTTGCAATTGGAGCAATTCCGCGAGCTAAAGGCGTATTTTCTTTCTCCTGTGGGAAAAATGACGCATCGCGCGCGCTCACCGAGATTATAATTTACAATATCGGACCGATTCAATCGTATATACGACTTGATTTAATGCCGCTGTTGATGTAATTTTTATTTATTTATTTCAAAAATTTTTTTTTCTATTAACGAAAGCTAAATAATTCGGAATTTATGTCACAGTTCAAAAATAGATCCATTAGATTTTATTTAAGATATAAAATTTTTTTTTGTTCGTCTGTTGGACAAAAAATTTGCCAAATAGAAAAAATAAAATAAAATTGAAATACAGATACAAATTACAATAAAATTTGATAATTATATAAAATTAAGCAATGGATGAAATTAAAAATATATTAATCAATTTCTTTTTACAATGAAACAATGTTTCTGTCAAAATTTTCAACTACAATAGAATTTTGTAATTAATCAAAAACAAAGAAAATAAAAAATAAATAAAAGACGACAAAATTAAAAAAAAAGATATAAATTAATTTTTTTATCAAATTATGAAACGAGAAATCACAAAATCAAATGGAGACATCTGGGATGTGGGACTCATATATATGGAACGGATGAAAAAGAGTGACAGTTTCCAGAAACATGCAACTCTTATGATCTTGTGTCACACTGTAATTATATAATTAAGAAAAAAAGTCCATAATATAATTTCTTGCTACTTGATCATAAGATATATTTCACATATTATATATTCTGAATTTTTCTTATGTAACAATATTATATTTTTAATAATTTTATACTCTCGTTTATTTTTATACTCATTATTTTTACCAAGTCTTTAAATAGAAATTATAAATTTTCAGCCTATGGAATATTAAGAAAATAAAAGTAATAGTCAAAGTTCCATAATTTCTTCCTTTAAATTAGCAAAATCATACAAATTTTGAAATTCAAAGTAAAATTATACTATTTTTCGTTTGAAATTATTAGTTAAGTTCATAAATATGTAAATTTCGATAATTAGATTATAGTTTCCAATAATCAATAATTTCGTTCCCGTTGTTTAACAATGGCAATCGCTATATGAATTTGTGAAATTGTATAATTGTTGAATTATTTACTTTTCTTTATTTAGATTTTAATTTTTAAATTTATCTTTTGTATTATAGTTAAAATTTTTCAGTAATTGTCTCACTTGTAAATTTACTTTCATTTGGCATTTCTTTAATGTATAGATATATTGACTATGCAATATACTTTTTTTTGTTTACCCCATATTGCTCTAATTATTATTTATGCTCAATTTTCGATTTCCTGAGAAGAATCACTTCTTTAGAAAAGAGAATTATAATTTTTTTTTCACTTTCACTAATCTATGAGAACGAGTCATGGGAAAGTGTCATTGCAAAATACAATGCGATAGTATTGTAGATCAAGAGGTCGGGCATAAGAACCTTAACAAGGTTGCTTCAAAGGTCATTTCGCGATTTCCTCTATATAAAGAATCCTGTTCAAGGATTAAATATTCTTCACGAAATCGAAAGTTGATCCAAATTTGATACACTAAAAAGTCACTATTATTTTCATATCTTTTTATTTATATTTGTATTTATAAATTTTATACTTCATTTAAGGGGGGAACACCAGTTGTAACTCAAAAAATAATGCTTTTTTCAAGAATATTTTCCAAAAGAACAATGAATCTTTTTAAAGAATACTATTTATTAGTTAAAAGTACATGTAAAAAGCTGTAATTTAAAAGAAAAAAAAAATTTTTTTAACAAAAACTTTTGGAGATATGAGCCATTGAAGTGGCGTCTTAAGAAAAAAGGCGAATTGCGGTGACCAGCATTCTGCAAGTATACTTCGTCTGAAATACAAAAATGAAATTGATTTACATTTATTATAAGATTATCTAGTTCGTGATCGAAGGATTTAAAAAAAAAAAAAAATTTGACAAAATGGCGACCTGTCAAAGTCAAAAGTATGATTTTCGTTAAAAAAATACGGTCGATTTTCAGCTATATAAAAAAAAGTTTTGATTAAAAAAAAAAATCCTTCGATCACGAACTAGACTTATATGTGTAAATGAAGCACACTAAATTTTAAATAAATCGGTTTAATGGTATTCGAGTAATCGTGGTCACCGACTTGGAAAATGTCATTTTGAGAAAAACGCATTAAAAGTTTCAACTTACTTTTTTTTGTTCAGAAGAAATTTTGTTTCTAAGTTACAAAGAGTCATCGATTCCTGGACCATATAATAACTCTTCCGCAGTGGTTGCCGTTTCTAAATCATAGGAAAAGGCCATCTGTCGTTAGGGTCAGGTATGGCTGGCCACCTTGTATGAAGCCACGGGACGCGCCGCTGCAGTGTTCTGTATATCTCATTTATTTTTCACCGGATCAACTTTGAAATTTACAGACACATTTCTAAATATGTATACTTTAAGAAAATGCACCAAAAAAAAAATCGATATTTCGAAAGTTACAACTGGTGTTCCCCCCTTAAAAACCTTTCCCGCGACAAAATGTTAAAGGAAAAACTATGACAAAAAAATTAATAAAGAATTGAAATAAATAATAAAATATAAATAATTTTAAAGAACAAAGAGACCGAGATTCAAATATTTTTTATTATGAAGGAACTTTCTATATATAAGTCCTCGGTACATTAATTGAAAATAAATAATTAATTAGTAGGCTATGATTTACGTAATAATGATTTCATTTACCTATACATATATATAATAGGTACTAAACGCACGCAAAATAGAGGATTTAATGCGTCATGCTTTCGCTGAATTACATTTTTAATAAAAAAAAGTTAATTTTTGTTCCAATAATTAAATTGCGTTATACATTGGCACATTTAAATCAAAGAGAATTGATATGGTGTTTTTTTCCTCTATTGTTTCAGAAACATGAGTCGGACATATTTATGGGGCGCTATTTTTTTAGTGCTTCTAGAATTCACTACATCGGACAAAATTCAGAGCACTGCTTCCAAACCCAAAGGTATTTTGTAATTTATTTAAAATTTTGTCATTTTCAATTTGATTATAATTTTTTTTATTATTATTTGTAACACGCAATCTATAAGAAAGCAGAGAGGCTTATAAAAAATTAAATTATTTATACCAATAAAAATTTTTGAATATTTTTTTTGAATAGTATTAAAAAAAAATTAAATATTTTCGAGATATTAAATTAAGTGTATAGTTATGAAACTTGTCAGTGGAGAAGATCTGTGTTTAGTCAGACATTTTCAAAGCGTCTGACTAAAGAAGATGATGCTTCTACTTTAATAATAACATATATATTGTTGGCATTCCGTGAATAATTTTTTTTCTTTAATAAATTTACATTTAAATCAACAAATAAATTTCTATTTTCTTTCATAATGCGTAAAGAATATAAAATTATATACAGAACAAAATTGTAAATAAATTTATATAGATTTTATTTTAGTGAAAGTGAATATTTATATATATTCGCGTTAATGAAAATTGTATTTAGCGTGAGAAACGCAAACATATAATGTAGAATTACGTGAATATTATATAGTGATACGATAACAGATCATAAATTTGTAATTATTCTTTTCAACGTTTTTTTCAGTATAGTAAAATAATTAATTAATTATTATTAAATTACTCGCTAGTAATTATTAATTAAACCCTAAAGAAGAGGACACTTTTCATTTTTAAATGATTCTTACACTTCTTTTTAAATTTTATGATCGCCATTTGGCAAAAATTGATCTAATTTAAAACAGGATTTTGGTCAGGCGCTAGTTAGTTTCTCCGACGAGGGCCACAACAGAAACAGGGAAAATATTGTAGTATCTAAAATCGAGAATTATTTCAGCATTATTTATAGCTCGCGAGATTTCGCGCCATTTTTTTTCGTTCCTCAGTATCTCTTTACTTAATACAAAAACATACAATGATCTATCGTAAACTTTACACAATCTCATTTGCATATATTGCAAACTTATCTTGATCAAAGTGAAATAATTGCACTACCCTCTTGACTTGTATGTGTGTGTGTGCGGCTATATCCCCTCGAAGTGCGCGCACAAGGAATCACGCGAGATATATCTCAAAGAGAGAAAATATAGATCTCAGTATAGCTCCCATCCATTTTAGTCTAGGGTAGAGCAAAAAAAAAAAAATTTTATTTGATCTTGTTAAATCTTAAGAATTGATAGCGCGCGTTCCATTACATCTAGGGAACAAGTGGGAAAAACCGGGGCAACGTATTTTCTTGTGTAACAGGTGGGAGAAGGCTGTGTGCTTAAACTAATACATTGAATGCGCGGACGGCCAAATGAATGTGATTTCTCGTTTTATAATATTTTACACGCCAATAAACATTCTAAAATCCCAGCACCTTTTGTACACGCACGAACAATCATTGACCATTAACTATATATATATACATATTGTTCAAAACCTTACTTAAATATATATGTAGTAAACGATCAAGCATTCAACGCAAAATAGTCGTCATTAAAAAAGAAAAAATTCAATTTTAAAAAACGTAAAAAAAAACATAAATATTATATAGATTATGTAAAAAAGGCGCATAATTGTTTAAAAAGTAAATGTTCTTTTTTTGCAGAGTTATGCAAATTATATTTTCAGAATATAACAATTGGTTTTATATTTTCAAATGTTTCAGCATTTATTAAATTAAGTTACTATATATACGTATATATACATAAAATCCCTATTGTTAAAAACATTTTTGCAAAATCAAATTTCTAAAATTTAAAGATATTCATATTTTTAAATTCGAAATTTTTTTTATATCTAAACTTTTTTACCCTCTTCTAACGCACGTGTTACAGAAAAGGACAAAAAAGTGTACGGCCAAAACTGTATTATGTACATACGACAGAATCAGGTGTACCAATCGCAAAACGAAATTTCGCAAAAGAAACAAAGATAATGGCGCAGAATTTAAAAACTTCTTACACGAAAAAAATGTTTGTAATATATAGCAACTAATTATAGACTACAAAATTTGTAATAATTACTAATAATTATTTTCATTCACGAAAAGCAAAGTATATAAAAATAATAAAATATGAGTTAAAAAACACATATATATGCTGATAACTATAATTACATCAAACTTGACATTTAACCTTCCTTAACATTATTTAACTTTTTTTGAGAAAGTAATACATTTCAGTATTGCCATTTTTTTTTTAATTTCTTATCCAACCCCTCTTTTTAACTGAATAAGGTATAAGTGAAAGGAAAGTAAACAAGGTGGTTTAATATATATATAAATCCATTTTATATATACGAAAAGATAAATTTGAGGTTGATGTTTTAATAATGAGATAAAAGCTCTCTTTATATATATCTGTATAATGAAGTAATATAATAATTATATATATGTTGCTATTTGTTAGAGTAATTATAATCTTGTATGCAACATGTATTACTGTATTTATTACTGCATTGTGAATTTGTATAAATGAGAATAGGATATGTCACATTTTCAAACATGTTTACTATATGGAAGAAGTGAAAGGCCTAGTTCATTGAAGGTGCCGTTCCTATTATATATGTGTTCCTTTATTGCAAAAAAAATCAATTAAATGACATTTATTCACTAATGCCAGTGTAGAAAATCACAATACCGTACAACACATACGTTATATAGTGTGAATCTGACTTAGCGATCGACGTTTTTCAATTCACTTTTTAACGTCACGATTAATTTACATGACATTCTGGTATTATATAAATTTTTATACAAATGCAACCTTTTGTTGCCACTTTATCATTTCTGGGAAATAAGATGTTGCTCTCTCGCTTATTTTTTTTTATTCTATGAAACGATACTAGTTTCTTCTTTTGTCATCTATTATTTTAAATGTCTGTTTGTCTGTCTGTACGTCTGTCCGTTTGTCTGTTATATTATTATTAATATATATATATATATTATAATTAATTTTTAATTTTTCTTTTCGCAGTCAGTAAAAGGGGACTGAATTCATTTTCACCAAATTATGGATTCACATCATTTTTCGGTCAATCGACACCTAATGATTTTTTTGGATTCACAAAACCTTCATTATTCTTTACAAATCCACCCACAGGTGGTTTGGAATTCGCTTATCCATTTAAACCCTCAAAACCAAGGTGAGTGTTTCGAAAGGTTTTTTTTATAATTAATATTCAATTGATCTATATTTATGTAAATAAGGTTATAAAAAAATGAACTTACCTTATTTGGAAGCTTTTGTACTGTATAGTTGCGGACGCACCAATCATCAAGAACCTAAAAACAAAAATAGAAAATCAAAGAATTAATAACGTACATTTAAAATAAAAAATCCAATTTCGTAATAATATTTGACTTATCTCGATGGACTTGTATTATATTCTTTTTTTTATTTAAACGTCATTTTAAAGACGTCACTCAGCCATATATCAAAATCCATATAAGTCAAACGTCATCTTGTCTCTCTTACGAAAGTCAAGTATATCAAGAAATGAAAATAAGAATTAAAAAAAAGGGAAATAAATAAAAAAAATACACAACTGTTACTCAAGATATATTATACAACAAGAGAATATTGGTGCGAATTAAAAAATAATCTCACGTACACTTTTCGTGGATCGTAAATCAAGAGAGATTTTTGAATACAAAATTGCCGTCGGGTTTCATATTGTTTGCGCTGACATGCTCGCGAATATTATCATAATGAATCATCACAGTTTCCACTTATATTTAGTTGTGAAAGAGCGGAACTGTACAATATTTATAATAGACACGAAAGGCAGACACGATATTGTTTAAAACCTTGAAAACAAATATGAAAAGAAAAACATATATAAATATATGTCCCGTAAATCGCGAATACAACGACGCCCAACAAAACCATTTTACAAGATTATTGCTAAATAAATTATTACAAGATAAACCATATGCAATACACCATATTATGTATGTTACAATATATTATGAATGACGTTTGTTTATTGGGTGATTGTATTATATTGCAAAGGTTAACCTCAGGTGACTGTAATTAGAGAAACAAAAAAAATTACTAAAACTTAAAAAAAAATAAAATATTTATAAGTTTGACCTTTTTCTCGATATTTGGGTTATTTTAAAAAATTAAAACAATTTGAAAAACTTAAAAAAACTAATAATAAATTAATTTTGATATTATTAGGATAAAAATAACTATGCTCTGTATAAAAGAAATTATAAATTACTAATAAAAATATTTCCTTTTTAGTTTTTTTCCATCTAGTTTTCAGCCAATAACACCATCACCACCAACAACACCGTCGCCGGCACAACAATTTCGTTGTGGGGATTTTTTCCCCAATCAATGTTCGGCTTCGCGATATCGAAGTTACGATGGCTCATGCAATAATCAACATCAGCCCACATGGGGGATGGCCAACACACGATATGGTCGTCTACTTCCTGCGGATTATGCTGATGGTATAGAATTTATAGAAAATAATAACATAACAATTACATTAAAAAAATACTTTCCTAAATTGGAAATTATTTATTGAGAAACGATCGACAGAGTTTAAATATATGCATATATAAAGAGTATTTCGTGACTTGTTTTCGATTACGGATTTAAATGCTATACGAAAGTTCAGACCAACTATATTGATATAAGGAATATGTTCGGGGTGCTGTACTTTTAATCGAGATAAAAGAGTTGAAATTTTTTTTTTATATTTTCTTTTTCTCTGCTCTTATATAATTGCGCGCGCGCGACATAATTTTCAAATGTCATATGACGTGAAAATGTTTATGACGTGAATTGAAAGGAGAAAATTTGCATTACTTCATATTTTCACTTTTTTACGCTCTACTATTCCAAATTAATATTACTCATGAGGAATTTGTTTATATATCGAATTTTTCATATTTTAGCGCAATTTAGAGATTAGAAAGGATATACCAGAATATATTAGAAAATAAATAATAATTATTTTAAATACGAAAAAGCCTTTCTTTCATTTTCATTGACAGTTTAAAAATAATTGATCAATATATATTTTAAAAAATATAATAGCCCATTAAATTTGGAAATAATTGTGTACCATTTTTAAATGTGGATATAAAAAATTAATTCCACGGTCCGATATATGAGTTATTTGTATATATATGTTTAGGAAAATTGTTTAAATTATATGATACACAGCTGTTTGAATTATTTAAAAGAAACATAAATTCTGATGAAAACTGATAACGCGGTGTATTTAATTAAAGTGTGTGTATGTATATAATTATAAGGAAGTTATTAGTTAAAGTGAACAATTTCCGTATATCACATGTATGCATTGATTAAATTTAACTCTCAACATAATATGAAGAAAATGTGAATTTTAAAGTGGGTTTTTTTCTGCTTTTTTCATAATCACGCAGACGTTCATGCACCCAGAGCAGCAGGAAGTGGTAATCCTCTTCCACTTTCAAGAAGCCTTAGCTACATCCTCACGCCTGACATTGAAATTCTCGATAGAAAATGGACTCTTGCTGCTATGCAATACGGACAGATAATCACTCACGACATGGCCATGATAGACGGAAGCACGCAATCGAGTACGTTTTTTAAAAATCATTTTTGATTTTCAACATTTAGCAGTATAATTATTAATTAATTAATTTTCTACGACTGGTTTTCATTTTTTTTATGATAAAATATAAAACTTGATACACGCAATTTTGCATATAATTTGCACGCGATAATAATTCATATGTTAATATTGTTACGACAGCTGCACATCCAACTCAATGTTGCACAAATGATGGGCAATTGATACCCGAGGCACTCGACAGTCCGTTATGTTATCCAATAATTGTGCCAAACAAAGATCCTGTTTATGCCGGAAGGAAGTGCATGAATTTTGTTCGTAGTAATACCGACCTTGATCGTGGCTGTTCGTCTCAATATGAACCTGCAGAACAGGTTTGGTGCTCTCTTATGCATTACATATACAAGCGATAATATCCATTCATTCACTCATTACATGTTACATCATTCTATTATAATTAACACTTCGAAAGTTATTTATAAAAATCAAAATTGACTTGATCAATAAAATCAATTAATTCATTTAATTAATAATATTGCATACACGAATTAATATTTATATTATTTTGTCTTCATTAATTGTGCTAGATCCGATTTAAAAAACTTTTTTTTATGTGCAAATTTTATCACTTTTTCAGTTGACAGTTGTTTCCCATTATTTGGATCTTTCACTTGTCTACGGATCAAGCAATGATGTGGCAGCAAGTTTACGAGCAAATGTGGGTGGTCGTTTGATTGTTGAAGTCCGAGGAAATCGAGAATGGCTACCATCAACACAAAATAGAAGTGATTGCGATCAGGCAGCACAAATTTGCTACAGATCTGGTAAATTTTTTTGAATCCAAAAAGAAACTATAATTTTAATTATAGTTTTTCAAAATATGATTTTTTTTGGTGAAAAACTGTTTTTATACACGTTTGAGAATTGAAGGAAAAGAGGGGAGAATAAACGCATTTATGCAAATCATATATTTTTTAAATAATTTAAAAATTTGGCTAATATAAAAAAACGTATTTTTATTGTCGCACAATTAAGGGGGAATGGAAATTATTATTGCAGGTGACAGACGAGTAAACCAGAATCCCCAGTTGACAATTCTCCAGGTTATTTTGCATAGAGAACACAATCGTGTTGCCGGTGTTTTGGCACGACTGAATCCTCACTGGACAGATGAAACGATTTTCCAGGAAGCACGGAGAATCGTTACGGCTGAACATCAACACATCTCATATTACGAGTGGATTCCAATATTTTTAGGTATACATATATATTTTTGCAATTCTTTTTGTTCTATTTTTTCAATATTATTGTCAGTAATGTATTAATATTTTCCTCTTTATTATAGGTGTCAAAAATTCCTTTAAACATAAACTTATTTACAATACAAAAGACTATGTACATGATTACGATGCATCCGTTAATCCAAGTGTTTTAAATGAACACTCGACAGCAGCTTTTCGATATTTTCATTCTCTTATTGCTGGTAATCTCGAGTAAGTTGAATCTCATGTTTAAAATTTTCATACATTATTTATTATAAATATTAAAATTATTTTTTGCTCGAGGGATATCAAATTATAAATTGTGAATATGCTTTTCAGTTTGGTGAAAGAGCCCAGATTTACCTATTCATATAGTGCTTTTAATTCGTTGAGACTGAGTGACCACTTCAACAATCCGGCAGTTATTGAGCGCGGAAATAATTTCGATGACCTCACCAGAGGATTGGGAACTCAACCGGAAGAGGCAGCCGATCAGTTCTACGACAGAGAGGTATAATCACAATGATTTTATTTTTTGTGTTATTAATTATAAAAAGAATACCTGATGTTTCAGAAGAAAATTTTTAGAAAACAAATCGTATATATTATTTATTAAAAGTGTACCTATGCTTCGGAAAAAAAATTTAGAAGACAAATCGTATAATGAAAATAGACCTAACAAAAAGAGAAGCTTTTTTATTAAAATCGGAGGCGACTGCAACAAGGTTTTTATTGCACAGGTTACCAATCAGTTTGTAAGCATCAGTAAGGTGCAGTCGATGGATCGAAAAGTCAAACTTGAAATCTAGAATAAGTAATTTTAATTAGCTGAAACTAACAGTCGCGTTTAGTACCCTGCATCAATCGTTATTATTTTACAATAGTGTAACTCCTTCAAATATTGCAATTCATAACGAAAAAAATGTTTAATTTTAGATCACAAACTTCTTGTTCCGTGATCCAAATCAACTTGGATTCGATCTTCGATCCATTGACATACAACGAGGTCGTGATCATGGTCTTGCATCGTACAATGATTACCGTGGCTATTGTGGATTGCCAAAGGCAACAACGTGGAAAGATTTTCTTGACTTTATTTCACCTCAGGTGAGGCATATTTTTTTCAAATAAAAAAAGTACCAAAACTTATGTAATGTAATGAAAAGAAATACAATAAAATGAATGGTAAAATTTTGACTTTGCATTTCAACAGAATGTGCAAATATTGTCAAAATTGTTCGAATCACCTGACGATGTGGATTTAACAGTGGCTGGTATTTTGGAAAGACATGTGCCAGGAACATTGGCAGGACCAACATTCCTTTGCATTTTAACTGAACAATTTTTCAGAACTAGAGTTGGAGATCGTTTCTGGTATGAAACTGGAGATACTGATGCAGCTTTTACGCTTGGTGAGTCAATAATATATTACAATAAAAATAAGTAGTAAAATATAAAAATAAAAGATTAGCAATAGGTAACTTAATAATTTGGTAACAATTCCTAAACGAATAATTGATACTTTTATAGAACAATTAAATGAAATTCGCAAAGCCAGTATCTCAAGGTTGTTCTGCGACAATGGAGATAATATCCAATCGATGCAAATGAGAGGATTTGAGCAAATTTCCGAACAGTAAGATTATTTAATTATCTAAAATTTCTCTAATTAATTAAATTATTTAAAATAATTTAATTAAGTTATATAATTAAATTATATAATTTTAATTAATTCTAATTAAATAATAAAATCAACTCCTGAAATAGGAATGTATTTTAAAATAAATATTAATTTTTTTTTCTATTTTCAGAAATCCCCTGGTGAGTTGTGACTACATTCCAGAGCTCGATTTATCATTATGGAAAGACTATGCGCAAGGTCCATCGCTTATACAACCGCGACCGTCATATTTTAAGAAATAAAATAAAAATTATTTTAACTCTCTGTTACTTTTTATTTTTAATTGTTAATGAATTTTGTAAGTCCATTATTTTTTGTACAGTTACTTATTATGACTATATGGATCACTCTCATTCGACGAAAGCTATACCATATTATTTAGCTCTACTATATATATATATATCTATCATTGTCATCAAATTTTTTTATACTATAATACGAAATAAAAATATTTTGTCGTCCAAAGACGTTTTACTATGTGTTTTATTTTTATTACATTCTAATCATGTGGAAAATGTCATTAAATTTTTTTATTTTATAATTTGAAATAGCATTTTTAAATTTTTATCACTTTTATTAAAATCGGAAAAAAGTAATCTGCATTTTTAGCAAAGATGCAAAATTTTTAATGCAAAAAAACATTCAATCACAGAAGACGACGTTAAATTCATTTATTTTTGTAACACGATATTAATTAAAGGACATAATTACAAATGTGAATGTACTTCAGTTGAGATATAAAAATTCAGAAGAATTAAACGATCCATTGTTTAATTAATACTTATCTAGGTGTCACTTATTTTAATCTAAAGTATGATAATAAATACATATATAACTGACTTTTTTGAAAGAAAGAAAAAATTTTTTTTTTAATTTTGACTCGGTGCAGAAGTATTTTTTAAAGTTTATTAAAAATCTAAAAAAAGGAGAATATTAACAAATTTAATTATTCAATGTTTCTTTTTTTAATTCTTTAATATGGAAAAAATTTTTATTTTACTTCTCTCATGTTTGACTATATTTATAAAAGCGCAGTCTTCGTAAGTATATGTTTTACATTTCTTGAATAATATAAAAAAATTTGAATACAATAAATATGAAATATTTTACAAACTTACTTTTATATTTTTAATTAATTGTCAATTTTATTAGCATTGTAATTAAATAATTTATTATGTTATGCTATATCTTGCCCCTACAGTGGTGACGATTCAAATCCATTTTCGGAATCAAAATGTGGTGACATTTTTACGAGGGTATGTAAAAAATCGAAATATCGAACTGTGGACGGTTCGTGTAATAATAATTTAAATCCTACTTGGGGTATGACTTTTACACGATTTAGTCGTCTTGTACCTGCAAACTACGCAGATGGTAAATTTTTTAACTTGAACAATTTTTTAAAATATTATTTCACTTTATTTAAAATATTTTTATTATATAATTATCATTAAAAAAAATTTTAGGATTTTATGAACCTAGACTAGCAACAAGTGGCGAAAATTTGCCATTGGCTCGTGTTCTGAGTCGTATTTTAAGTCCTGACAAAAAAATAAGAGATCCAAAACACACTGTATTATTTTTGCAATGGGCCCAAGTTTCAGTACACGATATTGTTCAATCGCATGTTCGTGAAAATACAAGTTTGTCAAAATTTTAAATTGCTTAAAAATTGAAATTCAAAGAGGAAAATTAGTTTTATTAATTTTTTTTTTTCTTTCTAGATGAAACTAATTGCTGTTCGAATGAAGGAAAATTAGTTCGCGATCCTGCCAAATATCCACTTTGTTATCCTGCTCTTGTACCAAAAGATGATCCCGATTATAAAAAGAGTGGTATAGAATGTTTTAATCAATTTCTTCGTCAACATACTGACGTTTATCGCGGATGCACTCCACGTAATGGAGTTCAAAATCAGGTACACGACCAACAAGAATTTAGTATATAATAAATTAAAATTCTTTTAATACGTGCTTCTAGTAAAAATAATTAATGTTTTACATCCTGTTCATATAAGAAGATATAAATTTCATAATTAATTTATTTTCTCAACAGTTAACTGAAACTACTTCTTACATTGATCTTTCACTAGTCTATGGGCGAACGGACGAAGAAGCGAACAGTTTACGAGAATTTAGAGGTGGTAGATTACTGGCAGATATTCGTCAAAATAAAGAATGGCCACCACGTAGTGATACTTGTGTCGAGAATGCAAAAGTTTGCTATCGAACTGGTAAAAATTTTATTTCCTTTTTTCTTTTTAGATGATATAATCATATCTTTAATTATCTAAAATAATAATAGTAAAAAATTCTTTATTAACTTCAGGAGACAAGCGAACAAATCTTGGAATTCAATTGGCATTTTTTGTCGTTACTTTACTTCGACAACATAATCGTATGGCTCAAGAATTATCAGAATTAAATCCTCATTGGGATGATGAGAAACTTTATCAAGAAACGAAAAGAATTTACATTGCTATAAGTCAACATATCACATATAACGAATTGTTACCAATAATGTTAGGTAAAATATAATTTATATTATTAGATTTTATTTTTTGTACATAACTATTTTATTAAAAATATGTTTTAAATATAACATTGCGAGTTATTGCAATTTTTTGTTCAAACTAACACTTATTTGAGTGGGTCTAAGTTGAGAACCATTGCTGGCGCCGCATGGGAAAAGTTAATTGTGACGTCACGTCAGTGTTTCTCAAATCAATCTCAAATTATTAAATTATCTAAATAAAGGCTAATCAGAAAATTTCTTAATTACCTGAATTATTTAAAATTTCTCTCAGGTGAAGAATATACTCATCATGAAAAAATCACATATGACACAATGAATTATGTAAATGATTATAATCCATCTATGGATGCTAGTTCTTTAGGTGAACTCGTTGCTGCAGTTATGAGATCTTTTCACACTCTGCTCAGTCCAGATTACAAGTAAAAATAATTAAAACATTAAATCTAAGAATAATATTTTTTTTTATTCAATAAATAAATTAATTCAAATTTTAATTTCGAGTTTCTTTTAATTTTTTAGCCTAGTAAATGAAAATCGTGACCCTCCACAAGTAAGTGCAAACATAAATGAATACTTCAATAATCCAAGTATCATCGAGAAGGATGATAATTACGATTGTGCAATAAGAGGATTTGCAACACAGCCACAAGAAGGAGCCGATCAATATTATGATAAAATGGTGAAACTGATTTTCTTGTTTATATTCGGTTATTCATTAACATTATTTTAGTTACAATTGCAATTTTCTTAATAACTTATAGAGTTTAAAAAATTCTTTCTTTATAGTATACAACCGAGTTGAATCTTGGGGAGAATATAACCATAACAGATGTTCGGGCAATGGACATTCAAAGAGGACGAGATTTTGGACTCGGTACTTACAATCAGTATCGAGAATTTTGTGGTTTTCCACGAGCTAAAAAATGGAAAGATTTCTTAGACTTTATTCCCTTTGATGTAAATATATGAAAAAAATTTTCAAAAAGATTGTCTAATTTTTCTTTTGTGAAACTAAATGTTTGTTGAAACAATACTTTTTATAGATAAATTTTTTATTTACTATTTTTCTATTTAGAACGTTATGGATATGAAAAGTATTTACGACAGTCCAGATGATGTTGATTTAACAGTGGGAGCTTCTGTGGAGGAACCTGCTCCTGGATCATTGGTGGGACCAACATTCCAGTGCATTTTGAGTGAACAATATTACAGAGCTAGAGTAGGGGATCGATTTTTCTTTGAAAATGGAAATTGCGGAAATCCTTTCACTTTAGGTGTGCTATTAAACTTTTTTTAATTGCTAATAAAAAAATGGTATAATTTTTAATTTGATTTACTAAATTAAAAAAAATATAAATAAATTTTTTTCAGATCAACTTAATGAAATACGGAAATACACTATTTCGAGGTTTATTTGTGACAATACTGATACAGTATCAATGCAACGTCGTGGATTTGTACAAATTTCAAAAAGGTAAGAATGATTCATTTTTTTTTTTTTTTTTTGCAAAATATTTGTTAATTGCAAATTTTGAATTTATGCATATTTTACAGAAATCCACTTGTTAGTTGTGAATCAATTCCAAACATCAATTTATCTCTCTGGAAAGAATAATTCGTTTCGTACTACATTATAATTTCATCGATTTTCTTCAATGTATTTGTAAAGAAAAATTTATTTTTAAATTTAAATAAAAAAATTATTCTTTATTTCAGTATTTTTTATTTTTATCCATTTTCTATGAAATCTTTTATCTAAAATTTCCTCTTAATAATAAGTTATAATGTATAAACGCACTGAGAAAAAAGGTTTGAGCTGACAACCAAATATTTCATTCAATATATGTGCAACTAAAATTTTTTGGTTGACACAACTAAACTTTAGTTGACAACAACCAAAGTTTGTTTCAGACGACTAAATAAGAAAATGAAAAAGAATTTGGTTGTCTCAACCAAACTTTGGTTGATGTCAACTAAAGTTTAGTTGTGTCAACCAAAAAATTTTAGTTGCACATATATTAAATGAAATATTTGGTTGTCAGCTCAAACCTTTTTTCTCAGTTCGTTGTATAAAAAATTTGTAGAAACTAAATTTTTTTTATATCAAATAAATTTTGAAAAAAAACTTCTTTTTTGGTAAAAATTTGCGCAACATGATATTAATAGAAGTTAATGATTAAAAATGTCAATGTACTTCACTCGAGATAAAAAGATTTAGAAGAATTAAACGATTGATATTTTTATTAACCCTTATCTAGATAACAATTATTTTAATCTAATGATTGATAATAATTTTACATATATAATGGACTTTCCGGAAGCACGAAAAAATTATTTTGTCATTTTGACTCAATGAATAAGTTTTTTTTATTTCTTTTCATCTGCTAAGTAATTTTAAATAATTAATTTAAAAATATACGATATAATTAGCATCTTCAATTACCCCATGGTGTTATTTTAAAAATTTCAATATGGATCACATTTTATTTTTAGTTCTTTCATGTTTAATTATATTTATAAGAGCTCAGTATTCGTAAGTAAATTAAAAAATTCTTTAGCTATACATAAAAATTTAGATTTAATTACAATTTTTTTATAATTTAATTCAAGACTTATATAATGATCATTGTAATTGAATTATAATTTGTATGTTTTATATTATATTGATATAATTCGCTTTTATATATTGTTTTGCTTTGTTTATTTAGTGGTGACAATTCAAATCCATTTTTGGAATCGAAATGTGGTGACATTTTTACGAGGGTATGTAAAAAATCGAAATATCGAACTATGGACGGTTCATGTAACAATAAATTGCATCCTACTTGGGGTATGTCTTTTACGCGATTTGGTCGTCTCGTACCTGCAAATTATGCAGATGGTATGTTTTATTTAACATAAAAAAATTCACTTTTTTTTCTTTCTTTATTATTATTTTGTTTTAATAATAATTCATTTATTAATTAAAAAAATTTGTTTACTATACTTTTTTCCTTATCCTTTTTATATGATAATTATTGTTAAACAAATTTTAGGATATTACGCACCAAGACTAGCAAAAAGTGGTAATACTTTGCCATTAGCTCGTGTTCTCAGTCGCATTTTGAGTCCAGACAAAAAAATAAAAGACAAAAAGCACACAGCATTAGTAATGCAGTGGGCACAAGTTGCAACGCACGATCTCATACAATCGGATTTTCGCGATGATACAGGTTAATTTACTTCAACTATATTTATAAAAAAGAAAAAAATTTTCTCTTACTTGAGCAAAATAAAATAATTATTAGTGTCTAAATTAGCGACGTTTTTATATGATTAAATTCAATTTCTAAAAAAACAATTGCGCGCGCAGAAATAGTGGGAGAACGCGTCTGCCAATCACAACTCGTTTCCCCACTTTTTTCAAGTGGCGCGCGCAAGTGTTCTCAACTTTCACAACAATACTAACAAATGACACTATCTAATTATTTAAAAAAATAATTTCAATCTCAATAAATTTAATTGAAATTTAAAAAAATTGAATTTAATGAACAAAATAAGTTTAATTTTATTTTTTTAAAAATTATTCTCAAGAGGAAACTAATTGCTGTTCGGAGAAAGGAAAATTAGTTCGTGATCCAGCAAAATATCCACTTTGTTATCCTGCTCTTGTACCAAAAGACGATCCTGATTATGCAAAGCTTGGTATTGAATGTTTTAATTTATTTGTACGTAGAAATACGGATGTTGCTCGCGGATGCGCTCCATGTAATGGAGTTCAAAATCAGGTACACTGTAATTTTTAAAGATTCTGCAATTTTATTTTCCTAGTAATTGTATCAAGTTTATAATTTTAAAAAAATTTTTAATTCAAAAAAATTAAATAATTGTATTTCTAAATAAATTATTATATTTCTCTTTTAGTTAACTGCAACTACTGCTTATTTTGATCTTTCGCTTGTATATGGATCATCTGATGAAGAAGCTGCAAGTTTACGAGAATTTAAAGGTGGTAGATTACTGGCAGACATTCGTGGAAATAAAGAATGGCCACCCAATAGTAAGACATGTGTGAAAGAAGCTGAAATTTGTTATAAAACTGGTAAATTTACTTGTTTCTTTTTTTATTAATCAATATATGAATTTAAAAAATACAATACTGCATTAAATTCAGGAGACAGACGAACAAATTTGGGAATTAATTTGGCATTTTTTGGCGTTGCTTTGATGCGACAACATAATCGTATGGCTCAAGAATTATCAAAATTAAATCCTCATTGGGATGATGAGAAACTTTATCAAGAAACGAAAAGAATTTACATTGCTATAAGTCAACATATCACGTATAACGAATTGCTACCAATAATACTGGGTAAAATTAGCGTTTATTTCAGTGCGTTTAAGTTGAGAACCATTGAGCGAGCCGCACGCGAAAAGTGATGTCACGATAGTGTTTCTCAACTCAATTTCAACTGATATATGATCTACTCATTTCGTTTCCTAACATAAATTATTTTTAAAAATTTTCAGGAGTAGAAAATGCTTATCTGGAAAAAATCACATATGACACAACAAGTTATGTAAATGATTACAATTCATCTGTGCATGCAAATGCTTTAGGTGAAGTTTCAGCTGCTGTTTTACGTTCTTTTCATACTCTACTCAGTGCAGACTACAAGTAAATAAGAAAATTAGTTGAATTAATTAACAAACTATTTAATTAAAGTATTTTATTATTGATTCAAAAAAATTAATTTGAGTTCCTAATTTTTTAAGCATGGTGAATGAAAATCGTGACCCACCTCATGGAAAAGCAAATGTCAATAATCTTTTTAATAATCCAACGATCGTTGAAAAAGGTGACAATTATGATTGTGCTATGAGAGGATTAGCCACAAATCCCCAACAAGGAGCTGATCAGTATTATGATAAAATGGTTAAACTAATTTTATAATACATTATTACAATAATTATATAATTAAAAATAGAAAATATTATTAGAATAGAAAATAGTAAAAGTATTGAAGTATATTTTATAGAAATTGGTATAGACTATTAATTTATTACAGTTTACAATCGACTTATATCTGGGGGCAAAAATAGTAATAACTGATGGCCGAGCACTTGATATTCAGAGAGGACGAGATTATGGACTAGGTACTTATAATCAGTACCGAGAATTTTGTGGTTTCCCTCGAGCTGTAAAATGGGAGGATTTCCTAGATTTCATTCCATTTGAAGTAAGGTCTCAAAAATAAAAAAAAAAAAAATTTCATTATGAATTCAAAATATTCTAAATAATTGTTGGCGTAAAAAAATGATTTTTTTTTAATTACTTTTTTTCTATTTAGGATGTGATGGATATGAAGAGTATATACGAGAGTCCGGAAGATGTTGATTTATCAGTGGGAGGCTCTGTGGAAAAACTTGCGACTGGATCATTGGTGGGACCAACATTCCAGTGTATTTTAAATAAACAATATTACAGAGCTAGAGTGGGGGATCGATTTTTCTTTGAAAATGGAAATTGCGGAAATCCTTTCACTTTAGGTGTGCTATTAAACTTTTTTTAATTATTAATAAAAAAAGTAATAAAATTTTTAATTTGATTTACTAAATTAAAAAAAAATTGTAAATAACTTTTTTCAGATCAACTTAATGAAATAAGAAAATACACTATTTCGAGATTTATTTGTGACAATACTGATACAGTATCAATGCAACGTCGTGGATTTGTACAAATTTCAAACGGGTAAATGCGGTTTAAAATTTTTTTTCCATTTATAAACTGAAAATAATGAATTTTTTTCATATTTTACAGAAATCCACTTGTGAGGTGCGAATTGATTCCAAAAATCAATTTATCTCTCTGGAAAGAATGATTTTATCGAACTGTTATTATTTCATCGATTTTTTTCAACAATATAAAATGAAAAATTTTATTCTGTAATTTAAAAAAAATATAATCTTCAATTAAGAATTTTTTAAATTATTAAAATTGTGGGGATTTTTATCGGAAATTTTTTTTTGTTAATGATTATGTATTGTATCAAAATTAAATGTACTATTTTTTTATGAAAAAATAAATTTATTCAAGGACCATATTTTAATGATAATTTTTGCTTCTTTTACCATTTTGACAAATGTTAAATGTTATTGACCGTGACTGGTATTGTAAAATAAATTTGTTAAATAAAAATGTAGTAAATTTGAAATATAAATCCTTAAAATTAAGGTCATTCAAAAAAAAACTTTTCAATATACATTTTGACAAAAAAGCTATTGTCTTCATAAATACAAAAAAAATTTAAATAAATATTTGTGTGATAAGAGTTGAGTTTGATGAATTGTTTTGTTAAGCGATAAATTCTTTATTATAATACCCATATTTATGTATATAACGTACTTTCCGGGAACAAAAAATTTTTTTTTCTCATTCTTACTTTGTGAAAAAGTATTTTTCACTATTTTCTTCTTGTCTGAAGTATTTTCTCAAGAGGAAAACAAACAATTTTTTAAAAAAAAATTAATTAATTTTTAATTTTTTTTTATTCATTTTTAAAACAAAAAAAAAAATTTTTAAATATTCATAATTTAATTATATTATACATAAATAAGCAAATAAATATTTCTTAATTAAATCTTCACTATGGGACACATTTTAATTTTCGGTTTTTCATGTTTAATTGTTCTAGTAAAAGCTCAATATTCGTAAGTAAATTAAAAAAAATTTAATTTAATTTTAATTAAATATTTAATATTAATTACAATTATTTTTATCCTTTAGTAGTGATTTTACAAATCCATTTTTGGAATCAAAATGTGGTGATATTTTTACGAGGGTATGCAAAAAATCGAAATATCGAACAATGGATGGCTCGTGCAATAATAAATTGCATCCCACTTGGGGTATGTCATTTACACGATTTGAGCGTCTCGTACCTGCAAATTATGCAGATGGTACGTATATTTTTACATCGAAAGATATTTTGTTATCAAACATACCTAAATTAATGTAAAAAATTAATACTTTTTTATATAATTAAACAAATTTTAGGATATTATGCACCTAGACTTGCAAAAAGTGGCAAAACATTGCCATTGGCTAGTATTCTCAGTCGTGTTTTGAGTCCTGACAAAAAAATAATTGACAAAAAACATACAGCATTACTCAGGCAATGGGCACAAATTTCAACGCACGATATTGTTTTATCGGATTTTCGCAAAGATACTCGTAAGTCAAATTTTGGCGCCCTTTTAATTCTATGGTCATTGGATGTTTCAGATTTAAAAAATTATTGCGCGCGCAGGAGGAGTGGGGGTAAGAAACAACCAATAGATGTCGTTCCCCCACTCATTTCCTGTGGCGCGCGCAAGTGTTCTCAACTTACACCTCAACCATTGAACATTAAACGAATAAAAATTTTAGAAATTAAAAAAATACGTTTTTATGAAAAAAAATAATTATTTTTCTAGCGGAGACAAATTGCTGCTCTGAGGAAGGAAAATTAGTTCGTGATCCCGCAAAATATCCACTTTGTTATCCTGTTATTGTGCCAAAGAACGATCCCGATCACGGAAAAAATTGTATCGAATGTTATAATGTATTTGTTCGTAGAAATACGGATGTTGATCGCGGATGCACTCCCGGTAATGGAGTTCAAAATCAGGTACACTTTAATTTTCACAGGATTTCGGTAACTTTACCAAAGTCTTATCGACACGAAAAGGAATTAAAAAGTCGTTTTTTTCTTTCATTTAACTTTTTTTATATAGTTATCAGTGACTACTTCTTACTTTGATCTTTCACTAATGTATGGAAGAACGGATAAAGAAGCTGCCAATTTACGTGAATTTAGAAGCGGTAGATTATTGGCGGATATTCGTGGGAATCAAGAATGCCCACCACATGCTGATACTTGTGTTAAGGAAGCGGAAATTTGCTATAGAAATGGTAAGTTTAAATCACGGTTTTTTTTATTTAGTGTGAAAAAAAATCATCATTTGAAGTTGTTTCGAAAAAGTTTATCACTGCCATACCACTTGGAAATTTAATTTTTTTATATTTATTATTAATTAATAATAAATAATAAAAAAATGATTAATTTCAGGAGACTTAAGGACAAATTTAGGAATACAATTGGCATTTTTCGCTGTTGCTTTACTACGACAACATAATCGTATGGCTAAAGAATTATCAAACTTAAATCCTCACTGGGATGACGAGAAACTTTATCAAGAAACGAGAAGAATTTACATTTCAATTAGTCAACATATCACATATAACGAATTGTTGCCAATTGTACTAGGTAAACTATGACTAAATCTTTTAGAATTTTTCTTCTAAATAACTATTTAAAATATATAAAAAATCTCAATTTAATACATTAACAATACGAGTTATTATTATTTTTCGTGCGAACTAATATTTAAGTTGAGAACCGATGCGCGCATCGCACGAAAATATGTAGCAGTGATGTCACGTCAGTGTTTCTCAACTCAATCTAAGATTAACGAATCACCTGAGTAAACGCTAATTAGCAAATTAATTTTTCAATTATTTTAAAAATTTTTCAGGAGTAGAAAATTCGTATCGTAAAAAAATCACTTACAACACAGCAAATTATGTAAATGATTACGATCCTTCTGTGCATGTAAGTTCTTTAAGTGAAGTTTCAGCTGCTGTTTTGCGCTCTTTTCACACTCTGCAGAGTGCAGATTACAAGTAAATGATTAATTAATTAATTAACAACCAAAATAATGTATTTGACAATATTTGTTTATATCTTTAAAGTAAATAAATGTACTCAGGTTATTTAATTATTTAGCATGGTAAATGAAAATCGCGACCCACCTCACGGAAAAGCATATGTGAATAAACTTTATAACAATCCAACAATTGTTGAAAAGGATGACAATTACGACTGTGTAATGAGAGGAATGGCCACACAGCCACAACAAGGGGCTGATCAATATTATGATAAAATGGTTAAACTACTTTTAATTATTTATTATTTAAATAATCATATAAATAATAATTAATTTTCAACAATTAATTCAATTATTTTATCCCTAGTTAATTAAAATTTCGGTTGTATTATTTAAAAAATTAAATTATTACAGTTTACTGTCGATTTGTACCTTGGGGCAAAAGTAGTAAGAACTGATGGTCGCGCAATTGATATTCAGAGAGGACGAGATTATGGACTGGGCACTTACAATCAATATCGTGAATTTTGTGGCTTCCCTCGAGCTGTAAAATGGGAAGATTTCTCAGATTTCATTCCATTTAAAGTAAATAGATTTAAAAATGTTCTATTCTTCTTTTGTGAAATTAAATGTTTGTTGAAACAATAATTTTTACAGATAAATTTTTTATTTACTATTTTTTGATTTAGGATGTTATGGATATGAAAAGTATTTACGAGAGTCCGGATGATGTTGATTTAACAGTGGGAGGTTCTGTGGAGGAACTTGCTCCTGGATCATTAGTGGGACCAACATTCCAGTGCATTTTAAATGAACAATATTACAGAGCTAGAGTAGGGGATCGATTTTTCTTTGAAAATGGAAATTGCGGAAATCCTTTCACTTTAGGTGTGCTATTAAAATTTTTTTAATTGATAATAAAAAAGTGATAAAATTTTGAATTTGATTTACTAAATTAAAAAAAATGTAAATAAATTTTTTCAGATCAACTTAATGAAATACGAAAATACACTATTTCGAGGTTTATTTGTGATAACACTGATACAGTATCAATGCAACGTCGTGGATTTGTACAAATTTCAAAAAAGTATGATTTTAAAAAATTTCATTTCTGAATCTTTTATTTCAAAAGTTTATAAATTGAAATTATTGAATTTTTTTTTCATTTTTTACAGAAATCCGCTTGTGAGGTGCGAAACGATTCCCAAAATTAATTTATCTCTCTGGAAAGAATAAGTCATTTGTAGTATTATTACTAATTCATCTAATTTCTATGACAAATCTATTGTTAATATTTTTTTTAATTGAAGTCTTTTTATCTGAAATGATTTAAACCCATTATTGAAAAAAATTGTAAGATTAGAATTATCAAACAAAAAAATTTTTAAATAAAATTTTTACAATTGGGCAGAATATTGTGTAACGTTTATAGCGTTGAGAAAGTCAGGATTAAATTTTAAGGATTTTTATCATTGAAGACATACAGATGTAGCAATTTTGTTTTAAAAAAGATTTTCTTATCTCAATAAAGTTTATTGAAATCTGGTTTAAAGAAGAATTATAATTACACATGCATATATATATACTGAATTTCTCATAACGAAAATCGTAGTTCTCTCACATGAAGTGAAAAATTTATTTTGTGTCACTGTTACAAAAAAAAATTTTCTTTAAAAGAATAAAAAAAAAATTAAATTAAAAATCACTAATTATTAAAAATTTAATTAATAAATGTAATTTATATAATTTTCAACATGGACCATATTTTAACGATAATTCTTACATTTTTCGTCATTTTTGCAAATGCTCAAAATTCGTGAGTAAAAATATTAACAATAATTGTTTTTCTAAATTTCAACAGTGTAATTGTCATTTTCATAGAAATGCGAAGAAAATTAAAAATAGCCATTTGTGTGGTAAACAGAATTGAGTATAGTTATTTGGATAAGTGATAAATTTTATTATTATAAAAAACATATAAATGTATAACAGACTTTCCGCGTATAAAAACCTTTTTTTATAATTTCTAACTCTATGAAAATGTTTTTTTCATATTTCTTTTCTTCATGTCAAACAAAAATGTGTTAAATTTATTTAAAATAATAAAAATAAAAGAATTCGCAATTAATTATCTGATGTTATTTTTAAATTTTCAATATGGATTATATTTTAATCTTAATTCTTTCATGTTTAATTATATTTATAAAAACTCATTCTTCGTAAGTAGATTATACATTTTTTTCAGCGCATAAAGATTAATATGAAATTAATAATTTTTTTAAAATTAATATGTTTTTGTACAATTGAAATTTTTTAAATTTATTTATTTTTTATTCTTTTCATATAAGTATTATTATTTAAATTATAATTGTAATTAAATTTTTATTAATTAATTAATTCAGTGATGATCCTTCAAATCCATTTTCGGAATCAAAATGTGGTGACACTTTTACGAGGGTATGTAAAAATTTGAAATATCGAACTATGGATGGTTCATGTAATAATAAATTGCAACCAACTTGGGGTATGTCTTTTACACGATTTGGTCGTCTCGTTCCTGCAAATTATGCAGATGGTATGTTTTTTAATTTAACATTAAAAATTGAAATCAAAATTACAGTATAAATAAAATTTTAATTACTGTTTTACTATTTCAACATCCTTTAAAATATTGTTTTTTAATACAATTATATTGTTGAATAAAATTCTAGGATATTATGCACCTAGACTTGCAAAAAGTGGCGAAACTTTACCACTGGCTCGCGATCTCAGTCGCGTTTTGAGCCCAGATAAAAAAATAATTGACAAAAAATATACTGCATTAGTCATGCAATGGGCTCAAGTTGCAGCGCACGATATTATTTTATCTGATTTTCGCAAATCTACCTGTAAGTCAAAATCTGTTTTTATTTGCAAAAAAAACAATCTTTGAAATAATTAATTGCGGATTTAATTTTTTATCTACTTGCTTCAAAATAAAAAAAATTGCTAAAAATAGAACGCAGAAAATAAATTTTTGAAAAACTATTTTTTTCAAGCGGAAAATAATTGCTGCTCGGAGAAAGGAAAATTAATTCGTGATCCCGCAAAGTATCCACTTTGTTATCCCGTTCTTGTACCAAAGGACGATCCCGATTATGGAAAGAGTGGTATCGAATGTTTTAACTTATTTGTTCGCAGTAATACCGATGTTGCACGCGGATGTGCTCCACGTGATGGAGTTCAAAATCAGGTAAACGACATTTAGATCGGTGAAGTTCACATCGTTTACGATCGAAATTTTGAATTAAAAGTGTAGAAAAAAATTAACACCCAAATACAAGTAGGGGAATCCACCTGTACGGCGACCCCTAAGATAAAAAAAATTCCAAAAAAATTTAATTTTTCTTAGACAAACAATTTTATTTCAAATTCTTGCACAAAATGCTGATAAAAGTGTAGATAAAAATTGACATCCAAATACAAGTAGGGGAAACACCCCTACGGCCATCCATAAAATAGAAAAAATTCCAAAAAAATTCAATTTTTCCTGGAGAAACAATTTAATTTCAAATTTTTGCACAAAACGCTGGTAAAAGTGTAGAAAAAAATTAATACCTCGATACAATTTAGAATAAAAAAGTCTGTCTAATAAAAATTAAATTTTTTTGAAAATTTTTGCATGATAGGAGTTGCCTTAAGGGTGGTAATATTGGTCCTCCCCTACTTGTATCGTGGTGTCAATTTTTTTTCTACACTTTTAGTGTATTCAAATGAATTTGGAGTTGAACTTAATTTTTTTTGTTAAGTATAATGTTTTGTTGAAGTTTTTTGTAATTTTTTGTTGTGTTTATGCAGTATCTTGGTTTTTAAAATTTCGATGATCGTAATTGATGTGAACTTCACCGATCTCGACATTTTTAGAAGGAAGTTAGTAATTTTACTATGATTAAGCTTTAATAATAATTTAAAATCCTTTTCTACTGAAACACAAGAATAAAAAATTTGTTTTATTTTTAATAATTTGTTTTCCTTTACAGTTAGCACTGACTACTTCTTACTTTGATCTTTCACTTGTTTATGGATCAACGGATAAAGAAGCTGCAAGTTTACGTGAATTTAGAGGCGGTAGATTATTGGCAGACGTTCGTAAAAATCAAGAATGGCCACCACATAGTGATACTTGTGCTAAGGAAGCGGAAGTTTGCTATAGAACGGGTAATTATTTTTTTTCCCCTTAATATTAAAAAAAAATCATCATTTTTTGGCATTAATTCCTAAATACAGGTGACGTAAGGACAAATCAAGGTATTCAATTGGCAATTTTTGTCGTTGCTTTATTCCGACAACATAATCTTATGGCTGGGAAATTAGCGAAATTAAATCCTCACTGGAATGACGAGAGACTTTATCAAGAAACGCGAAGAATTTATATTGCCATTAGTCAACATATCACGTATAACGAATTGTTACCAATAATCTTAGGTACATTTTATATAATATTTTTTTTAAAGAAAAATTGAGAACCGTTGCGCTCGCAAAATAAGTTGTGATGTCACGCCAGTGTTTCTCAACTTAAACGCGCAGAATAATAGATTTTTTTAAATGAACGAATCGATTTTTCAATTGTTTTAATTATTTAAAATTTTTTTTCAGGTGTAGAAAATTCATATCGTGAAAAAATCACTTACAATACCGCAAATTATGTAAATGATTACAATTTATCTGTGGATGTTAGCACTTTAGTTGAAGTTGTCTCTGCAGTTATGCGCTCTTTTCACACATTGCTCAGTGCAAATTTCAAGTAAATTGAAAAATCAATTAATTAACAATTTAAATATATTATTTTAGTAATAAAATTTTATTTTTTTGAATTAATAGCATGGTGAATGAAAATCGCGACCCACCTCATGGAAAAGCAAACGTGAATAATCTTTTTAACAATCCCACAATTATTGAGAAGGGCGACAATTATGATTGTCTAATGAGAGGATTAGCCTCACAACCGCAAGAAGGGGCTGATCAATATTATGATAAAATGGTTAAAACAATATTTTTAATTAATTTATTATGATTTATAATAAATAATAATTGTTAATAATCATTTAATAATTTACAGAACTCTTTCCAATAATAAAGTTTATTTATTGCAGTTTACTGTCGACTTATTTCTTGGGGTGACTAAAGTAAAAACCGATGGACGGGCAGTAGATATTCAGAGAGGACGAGATTATGGACTTGGCACTTACAATAAATATCGTGAATTTTGTGGCTTCCCTCGGGCTGTAAAATGGGAAGATTTCTTAGATTTTATTCCCCTTGATGTAAAAATATTTAAAAATTTTATCGAGTCTATTTTTTAAACGAAACTTTGTACTATTTGAAAGAAATTTTTTAAAATATTCTTTTTCAATTTAGGATGTTATTGATATGATCACTCTTTATGACAGTCCGGATGATGTTGATTTAACAGTAGGAGGTTCTTTAGAAAAACTTGTTCCTGGATCATTGGTGGGACCAACTTTCCAATGTATATTGAATATACAATTTTATAGAGCTAGAGTGGGTGATCGATTTTTCTTCGAAAATGGAAATAGTGGACATCCTTTTACTTTAGGTGTGTTAACTTTTTTTAATTGATAATAAAAGATTAATAAATTTTTTAATTTAATTTACTAAATTAAAAACAATTGCAAATAACTTTTTTCAGATCAACTTAATGAAATTCGAAAATTCTCTATCTCGAGGATGATTTGCGACAATACTGATACTAAATCAATACAGCGTCGGGGATTCGAACAAATTTCAAAAGTGTAAGAATGCTTTTAAAAATATTTCTTTTGATTGCAAAATATTTGTAAATTAAAAATACTGATTTTTCTTTACAGAAATCCACTTGTAAGTTGTCAATCAATTCCAAATATCGATTTATCTCTTTGGAAAGAATGGTAAAATTAAATTATCAACAACGTTTGTAATTATTATTTGATAATTTTATATTAAGCAATATATTTATTACGTAATTAATTTATTTTACTGTTACTAAATATTTCATAAATAAATTTACTATTTATTTAATCATTAAATATTAAATTAACAGACTGGCATAACTTTTCTTTCATAAAACCTCTCTTTCCTTCATACAAAATTTCTCAAAAATATGCCTTCTACTGCTAACCCGATTGCCCGCTTGATTGAGACTATATTCTCGGCGAACCGTATTTTATACTCGGCTCCATACGAAAGTGGGGATGCACACTCGCCATTGGCTGTCAGCGAATAGGACTCGCGCCAAGCCATGCGCGTAAATGTTGCGCAAACGCTTCAACATTTCTTTTGTAGATGTCGATTAAATTTTTAGGTAATAAATTTTTTTTTATTAAACATTGAGAAATAGTGCAATGGAGGGGGACCTTATTCGGAACTGCACCCTTAATTAATTAATAAAAAGCTCACTCCCGAAGCTAACTTATAAAAATTAAAATTGAGGCAATTTTAGGAAACACGTGGTATGACGACAAGCTCCGACAGGCTTACGAGAACGTGACGCGCGAAAATAATTTTCCATTAATTTTCTTGACCTACGTTACGTTTTGTCAGAGTGGGGGTAAGGAATCTCTCTTTCTCCCCCCCTTATATATCTATTTCGATATTGTAAATTCTATGTAATTTTAATTTAAATATAAATTAATATATAAATAAAATACAAATAAATATTTTGCAATAACTAATTGTAAGAATATTTTATTATATATATATTCATTGTATACATTTAAAAATATAACCATTTTAAATAAATTGAAATTAAATAAAATTTATTAAATTAAAATTAATAGGTATAATTGAATATTTTTTTAAAATAAATTTCAAACTAATAGTAAAATTAATAAAAATAATAATAATTCTTAATCATTAAATTACATTTATTAATATAATTAATTTTTTTTAAATTTCATTCTTATTGTTTGACAGAGTAAATTTAAAAAAGGACAAATAAAAGTAAACAAAATTTTTCATTTTTAAAATATGCAAATCATGGTTTTTTTCCAAATTGCATTATAAATCAGGATTAAATTTAAAGGTTTTTTTTATTTTTAAATCAAGATATAAAGATTTAAAAAGATTTATTTCCATTGTCAAATTAAAATCCTTATCTTAAGCAAAGACTATTTTCATCTGATAAATTTTTACACATTTATATAGCGGATTTTCTCCCAAAAAAATAATCTTTAGTCATTTTGAAGAGAGTTAAAAATAAATTATTTTGTTATCTTCTTTACTGTGTGATTTTTTTTTTAAAAAAAGCCTAAAATTTTATTATAAATAGGGAAAAAATACTACAATATAAGGAATTTAAATAATTTAATTTAAATGAATAAATAATTTTTTAAAACATTTTGTTAAGATGGAACTTATTTTTATTTTAATTCTGTCATCTTTAACAATTTTTACAAAAGCTACAGAGTCGGATGTGTTCCCGTGAGAAACTTTTATATTTTTAAACACAGCTTGTTAGTGTCTAGAAAATAATAATAAATAAATAAAAAATAAATAAATTATAACTTCTTAAAGAACGACGCTATTCCGAAATTTTATTTTTTATTAAATTTGTTCATTATTGTCATTATCCAAGTAGAATTAATATTTTTAAAAAATCTGATCTTTCAGTGATCCTTCAAATCCATTTTCGGAATCAAAATGTGGCGACAGTTTTAATAGAGAATGCAAAAAATCAAAATATAGAACCGCAGATGGCTCTTGTAACAATAAATTACATCCCACTTGGGGAATGACATTCACTCGTTATGCTCGTCTCGTACCTGCTAATTACAATGATGGTAAAAACTTTTTTTTTATATTTGATTTTTAATTATTAATCAGTATATTTTATTTTTTTTTTAAATTTATTAAAGTATTTTTTTATAAAAATATAATTTTATAATTATTAAATTGTATCATACATATACACAATAATTAGATTGTAATAAAAATAATGTTATTTATAAAAAAAAGTTTTTTAGGATATTATTCACCCAGACGGAGTAAAAGTGGTAAAACTTTACCTTTGGCTCGAATTCTTAGTTATGTATTCAGTCCGGATAAAAAAATAGTGGACAAAAAATATAGTTCATTAGCAACACAGTGGACACAAATTTTAACACACGATATTGTTTTATCTGACAATCGTGAAAATACAAGTAATTTTTTTTTCTTGAAAATTTCAATAATTTTTTTAAGTCTTATATTTTTGTTTTAATAAAAATAATTTAAATTTTTTTTATTTTTTAAATAATTTTAAGGATTTAAAAAATATTTCATAAAATTGTTTAATTATAACAAATATTTATTCAATAATTTGTTTTTTAATTTTTTATTAATAAAACAATTTATTTATTAAATAATTAGCGGATACAAATTGTTGTTCGGACAATGGTAAATTAGTTCGTAATCCTGCAAAGTATCCACTTTGTTATCCGGCGTTATTACCAAAAGATGACGTTGATTTTGGATGGAGTGGAATAGAGTGTTTCAATTCATTTATTCGTAAACATACTGATGTTGATCGTGGATGTGGTCCACGTGATGGGGTCCACAATCAGGTATACATTAGGAACATTTTTTTTTTATTTTTTCTTTAAATTAATTTTTTTTTATTCTAAAAAAATGTCGCTTATTAATAAAATTATGTTTTTTATTTCCAGTTGGTAATTACCACTCATTTCCTCGATCTTTCAGGAGTTTATGGATCTACTGATAAAGAGGCTGCTAGTTTACGAGAATTTAACGGCGGTAGATTATTGACTGAAACACGAAAAAATAAAAAATGGCCACCCAAGGAAAATACTTGCCTTCAGAGCGCAAAAGTTTGTTACAAAACTGGTAAAAAAAGATATTATGGTTTTTTTTAAATCTAAGAAATTTAAAGTATCCTCGAATACAACATTCGCTGATTTCGCAAGCGGGCAGCATTTTTTTTTAAATTATTAAAATAGGATAGTTATTAAATTTTTGTTAATAATTTTCAAAATTGTTTTAGACATTTCATGCAAGAAAAATAATAAAATTTTGAGATAAAAAAAGTTTTTCAAATATTTATAAAAAAAGAAAAATTAATAATAAAAAAAATATTTTTAAATTGTAGGTGATCAAAGAGCAAATCTCGGTGTATCGTTGGCATTTTTCTCAGTTATTTTAGTAAGGGAGCATAATCGAATTGCCAACGAATTATCACAATTAAATCATCACTGGGATGACGAAAAACTTTATCAAGAGACCAGAAGAATTTTTATCGCTGTAGAACAACATATCTCGTATTATGAATGGATACCAATATTTTTAGGTACAAAACACAAAAAATTACAAACTAATTAATTTATTACAATTAAATTTATTTTTAATTAATTAAATTGAATTATTAATTAATTATATTAATTAATTGTAAATTGAGCAAGTTGAGAACACTTCGCGCGACGCAGGTGAGGAGGGGATATGCCAGCGCTGATTGGCAGTCACGTTCTCCCACTTGAGTGCTTACAGTGATTCTGAACTTAACCGACGAAACAATTCACTATGCCAATTTCAATTTGAATTCTAATGAAAAAATATGAATGATAATCTTACTAACAAATTATTATTTTAGGTGTAAAGCATTCTCAATTTTATCGGCTAATTTATAATACAACTGGATATGTAAATGATTATGATCCATCTATAAATCCAAGTAGTATTAATGAAGGTGTCGCTTCAGTGCTTCGTTCATTTCACACACTACTTTCCGGAGAGTTAAGGTGAAATAAAAAATAATAATTTAGTAACTATATGAAATTAATAATTAAATTAAGACGATAATAATTAAAATTTGATAGGTATAAACACTAATTATTTTTCATAAAAATAATTTGATTTTGTTCTAGCTTAATGAATGAAAATCGCGATCCACCTTATGCATCAGCAAATATAAATGATAACTTTAATAATCCGAGCCTTATTGAAATAAATGATAACTATAATTCACTAATTAGAGGATTAGCAACACAACATCAGGAAGCTTATGATCAATATTATAATGAGGAGGTATAAACCTATTCTGTTTATATTCTTATTTTTCTCATACATTGGATCCGTACTAGCGTTGTTACTTTTTGATAAGTTTCGCATACTGCGCGCGCAAACTGAAAAGGTGGGGATAGCGCTTGAAGACCAATCACTGCGTTCTCTCCCACTCTTTTCGTGCGGCGCGCGCACACTGTTCTCAGCTTTCGCGTTAAAAAACAAATCTAGAATGACGCTAGCATGAAATTTGTTATAAATGGAAAATATTACGTTCGTTAATATTTTCAAAGTTGTTTAAAAACACTTATGGAAAATTCTTTTAAATTATTATATATTTAATTACAATTTTTGTAATTAATTTGTTTAAGATGACAGTTTATGTGAATCTTGGTCCGGGAATAGTTCGATCCGATTCTCGTGCTCTTGATATTCATCGAGGTCGAGATCACGGTCTCGGAACTTACAATCAATATCGAAAATATTGTGGTTTTCCTGAAGCCAAAAATTGGGAAGATTTCTTGGATTTCATTTCCATTGAGGTAAAGACACAATAACTATTTTGGTAAAAATAAAAAATTTCTTCATAAAAAACATGTTTTGAAATAATTTTTTTCAAAATTAGAATGTAAAAGATTTAAAGAGTACTTACGAATCGCCGGATGACGTTGATTTGTCAGTTGGAGCTAGTTTGGAAAGGTCAGAACTGGGATCTTTGATTGGACCCACATTTAAATGTATATTAACGGCAGAATTGTATCGAAAAAGAGTGGGTGATAGATTTTTCTACGAAAACGGAAAAAGTGGTTTTCCATTTACCCTGGGTTCGTTACACTTTTATCAATTTGTATTAAAATTATAAAAATTATTTATTTTTATTACCTGAAGTGAATTATGTAAAAAAAATTATGTATTTTTTCAGAACAATTGAATGAAATTCGCAAAGCAACTGTTTCGAGATTACTTTGCGATAATAGTGACATACAGTCAATTCAACGTCGCGGAATGGAAGTAATTTCAAAAAAGTAAGAAAATTTATAAAATAATTTTCATTTATCAATTATTTTCTTTTTCTATTAAATACGATTGACAATTTGAAAAATTAAATAATATTTTTCCCCTTTTTTCAGAAATCCTCTCGTGGGTTGTAAATCTATTCCAAAAATAGATTTATCTCTCTGGAAGGAATAATTTGTTTTTTTAATTTTTGTTATTTAGTTTTTACTTTTTTCTTTATTGTTAAGTATATTTTGTACCAAAGGGTTTCAAACACGTAGAACCTCAAATAAATAATAAATAAATAGTGAAAAAAAATTGTTATATTTATAGTATTTAAATTTTACAACACAATTAAAATTTCAATATTTTATATATGAAAAACAAATTTTTTTTATAAAGATGCAAATTCAATGTTTCTTCACGTTTCTGTTTAATTCTAAGTCACGATCTTGTACTAGATACTACCTCATAGAAAATTGCATTTTAAAAAAATATTTCATCCATAAACAAAGAACAGGAATTATTTTCAAATTTCTCTACAATCAACAATTTTTTTTCCCCATCAATTCAGACAAAACAAGAAAATTATGTAAATAAAATAAATGTAAGTAAATATAAAAAATATTTCTAACATTCATCAATTGCAATATACATATGATGTTAAAATAACAAAATGGAAACAAATATTTATTTTTTTCTCAGAGAAATTCAAACAAATGCAATTGTTTTATGTAAATTAAGTTTACGTGAATTTTACTTTTCTTTCTCAAATAACGCGAGGAATGTTTTTTTTGCATTGAAAACATGTGGATTGAGAATAAATTTGAAAGACAATTGATATTCAGTACTAGAAATAAATCATTGGATTTCGTGATGTGACGCACACATATATATTTGACAATAATTTACTCTTATCAATTTTATATATTTTAAATTGGAAAATTTTTTTTTTTAATTAAAAACACTATATAACGTCAATTATAATTATTTTAATTTATTTCCTAACATACATTATATGCGTTTATTAAAAATATGTCGTTTACATATATATATATATATATATTTTTTTAAAAAAAGTTATTTTCATTTTTTAAAAAAATGGAAAACGTGCAATTTCTTATAAAAACTTTGCTGAAAAACTTGACAAATTTTTCGATATATATATTCTAAAAAAACATTGTATAATTTGTTTCTCTAAAGTGTATGTAAAATCTGAAAAGTAGAAAAATTAGTTTTCAAAATTGAACACAGAAAATTCGAAATCTCACGATTCTTTTTTTTAACCTAATATACAAGTTTTGTGAAAAGGATTTTTACAGTCTTTTCGTGTTTTTGGTCTTTAAATATATATAATTCCTAGTAAATTCTTCATCTGAAATTTCGGACGGAATTCGTTTTTTTTAAATTCACGTCCTACTAATACGAAATCATTAGAAACTGGAAACTTCTTGAAAACTTATTACCTTAATGCGCTTTCAATAAGTTTTTAGTATGAGTTTCTAAAGAATTTGTATCGGTAGGTTGCCACATGGCAATAAATGTAATTTCCTATTCCGAAAATTCAACTAATACTGTTTCAAATAATAAAATTTGAATTTTTTGACATTTGAAGTTTCTCGGGTAGTGAATTTTTGACAAACATATTTGATAATTTGCTATGAAAAACTTTAATGCACTCAGGAATTACTGCATTTTCGGTAAATTGTTCCAACAGAGGCCTTTTAAAGAGTCTCGTTGCCTCTAATCGTTGTTCATCTGTGATGATTCTATCGTCCAAATGAATTAATCGGGGGAACCACGATATCACGACTAACCTAGAATTATCAATTTGTTACGTTCAATCGAAAGTGTTTAATTAGCCAATGCCAAATGTAAATAATTACGGTCACAATTAGAGATTATATAAAGTGTTATCATTTTTTTTCTTGGCAAAATGAATAGACCTTGAGTTTTAGGACTATGAGAAAAAAAAATTAAATTCGAATAGAATTAATATTCTAAACATAAGAAATTCTGAAATAACATTTCTATACTAATTTTGTTGGTCTTAAAAGTCCCTGACATTATCGTCAACACAATAGTAATTTTTTTGTCATTGAGTATTTATTGAGTATGATCCTTGAAAGATTATTTTTATCAACAATTTTTAGGAAAATTAATATTTACTAAGATAGTGAGCTATCTGAAAAGATCAAGGATCATCTTAGATAATTTTACGAAATATATATATATATTTGTATGTATACCTATACTGAAGATAATCGTAGAAGCTGCCTCCGTTGAGATAACTTGGTGCTGCTTTGTTTCCCATCAGACAAAGATAACGCAGATTGGGTAAGCTTTCGTAAAGACTTTTTATAAATGGAAAGAGATCGTCTATTTGATTATGATTAATCCAAAGTAACTGAAGTTTTGGCATATATGGAAATATCGTAAATGAATCAATATTGTTGTGATCCAAATTGAGTGACGTCAAATTTTCAAACTCCGATAAAAATTGCAAATTTCTACATGAATATACATTTATTATTTCTTTTCATTTTACATTTTATCGAGACAAAAAAATACAAGATCAGAAAGAATGATAAAATAAGATTTGATTTCATCATGATAAATTTACTTTTTTTTTGTTTTTGAGGAAAACATTCGTTTTCACAAGTTTATCATCATTAAAAAGATAAAATTAATGATGAAAACTAAAATATGAATATATAATTACTAAAAATAAAATTGAAGATATTTAAAAATAATTGAAAATAAATTACCTGCTAAATTTGTTGTGACTGATATCAAGTGTATTTATTGAATTAGCATAATTCTCAATTATATCATATGGCATGTGAAAGAGACTTTCGAAAGCCAATGATAATGATTCATTGAAATCTAAATTCGAAGATTCATCAGATGAAAGTGATTTAGAATGTCTTGAATGTGAATCGACAAATATTAATTTTCCCAACGATGTCATTGCAAACTCTTCCACAGCGTCCTCTAAACCAAATTCTTCATTCTTTATTCCCGACCTATAAAAAACAATATTGCATACATACATATATATATATTTATATGCAAAATATTTTTTTTTATTTTAAAATTCAAATTAATGTTCAAGCGAGTAAAAACATATAAATAAATATTGTACAATAATTCTATAATGGAAATTGTATTTCAAACAAATGGTTCGTTTCGCAAAAAGTAATAATCGCATCACCCAAATGCATTTATTCATTTGATATTGTACATTTTTTTTTCCTTTTGTTTATTTAGTTTTGCGTAAACAATTGCAGTCGAGAAAAATTCCCATCGCAATAGTTACCGAAAATTATTTGTTTTATTTATTATATTGTTATCGGATTATTTTTTTTTTAAATTCATTTATTTTGTTTATTTGATAAATTCTTGCATCAATTGTTCGTTTTATTGCATTCATTTGCAGTTCATTATTTTTTAATTATTATTTTTAATTGGCCAAGAAGTAGTTATCCTTAACTAATGTAAGTAAAATTCTTTATCTTTATTTTTAAGACCAATGCTGTGACAATGTCTCTCAAAACATCAAGAAAATGATAAAGGGTATTTAGAAAACTTTAAAAGACAAATAAATAGTAACAAATTTTAAGAATAAAATAGATAATGTTAGAAATTATATTGTACAATTACAAACTAATCAGAAATTGTGAACCAAATCTAAAATGAAATCGAAACATCAGTGAAGATGAAGATAAGGGTTTTTTTAGAAAACTTGAAAAGACAAATAAACAGTAAGTTTGGAGAACATTTACAATAATATTAACTAATATTAAGAATTAATTTTAATATAATTTAATAGTCCTATAAAACTTTTCTAACGGTTTTTTACTGATTAATTCAAGATTAAATTCTGGTTGCATATGAAATTGATTTGAGAGGAAACTGTTGATGTAAGAGATGAATCGATAAGGTTTGATTTTATTTTTGAAAAGTAAAATAGGATTTTTATAATTTATAGTTAAAGATTGAAAATTTTAACTGCTGTTAATGGTAACAATTTAAGATTATAATCATGATTATAGTTTAAATTAAATTATTATTAGTAGTTTTTTTAAACCATTAATGGTAATTAAAATGGTTGGTAGTTTCAATTAATGGTACTTTAATTATTGCTATTTAATTTATTGGTACTTAATTATTGATATTTCTGAACATGTAGGAAGATAATGAAATTTCAAATAATTTTACAAAATATACGATAAAACATGTTAATGGAAATAAAGAAAACAATATAATAATTTTACTCACATTCTCTTAATTGTTGAAAAATTGTTGAATTTTCTTAAAAATATTAAGAAAATCAAAATGAAGAAACACAATCAAACAATATTTGAATAAATACTTCTCTAATATATCATATCGGATAAAATAAGAGCGTCTGTTATGTGTCGTTATAATAATTAGCATACAATTAAAAACAGTTTAAATAAACGATCACTTATATTGTAGTATGCGTCTGGTATTACCAGAGATAATTTGCACACTATATACAATGTGATCGACCTCCCATGCGCTATATAGAGTAGAATTTTTCAGAGAGCACAAAAATAAAATTAATTTTACTATTGTTATATATAGTATTGGCGCGACGATTCAACCAAGACTGATGTGAATTATCATTTTCTACGGTCTAACTGATAAGAAAGTATTCCCTATCATATCAATATAATGACGATGTATTAAAGGAAATTAAAATTTTTTTCTTTCTAAATGTTAAGGTTATTTAGATGCACATTATATAATGGATTTATAATCTTATACTGACAAACCCACTTGATGTGTTTCTATTCTCAACTGATAAGATGTTCAATATAAAAATTATATTTGTGTCAATTATTTCATATATTGTCAACAATATACATGTATATATGTATATACTTACCGAGTTTTCCTGCATTCTTTTACTTCTTGACAAACTGAGACGATATCCGTCTGTAGCACGATACGGAGAAATGATATTACTAAACAGTTCAAAATTGAACCTGAAGATTGCACCACTTTCCAGAGAAGGAGATAAAATTTTAAATATTATATTGAAAAAAAAAATTTTTTAATTAAATTAAATTTTTTTTTTTATAATTTATTTTTTTTAGTTTATTGAAATTTTTTTATATTAATTTTTATTATCAACTAAGTAATGTTTTATTTATTAATTAATAATTTATTTATTTATTTATTCATTCCTTTATTTATTTATTATTCATTAAGTAGCGATTAATATTTTATTAACTATTCAAATATAATTTAATAATAATTATTATTACTATTATTATATAAAGCCCAACAAGTTCATGTACCCAATTAATATAACATTTATTGATTTACATATTACCAATTATGTTCATCCATTTAACAAATAATTGTAATCTACATGAGAAGATAATAACGGTTCGATAAACTATATATAATAATACAAATTTTCTTCGTTGAAGCAAAAAGAAAAAAAATATGCATGTGAGTTGATCTGTTTTGTTTAATCTCGTGCATAATTGTTACATTTACAACAAACATGCATATTATTATTATTATTAAAGAGTCCTGCACATTTTTTTTGCTCAAATAATTTAGAGATCTCATAATTTATGATGTAGTACAGTTTTTTTTTCTAATTATCCACATGGAAACATTTGTTCATTAAAAAAAAAGTTTGGCACATTTTACCCTGAAGTTCAGTAAAATTTACCATACCTTATAGGAAATTATATCAAACACTATTATAATAGATTTTAAAATACTTTCTATAGTGAATTTTACGAAAATTTATAAAAAGATTTTACATAATTGTAAAATTTACCATACTTTAATATAGGAAATTTTCCTAAACATCTGTGGTAAATTTTACCAAAACTTTTAATATAGATTTTTATTAAAATTATTATAAATGTTATCCAATATTGTAGTATAGAATTTACCATATCTTATGGGAATTTTTACTATAATGAAATTTTTTACCAAACATTGTAGTAAATTTCACTAAAATTTTTATTTGAATAATAATTGCACAACAAAATGTCCATTGAGAATGTTATGTGGATTATTTTTGTTTTAACACTTTTACTGTTGTACGATCAACGAATTTTCAAACAGCATTTGCCCTATTTAGATAGAGAAAGATATACAGAGAAAATATTTAACAAATATATTATATGGACTGCAGTATTATTTACAATGGAAAAATATTTCTTGTTTCTAAAATTCACTGCGTAGAATTTTTGTTTTAAATTTGGCAGTGTTCAATAACGAATATATTGAACTAAATATTTTAAACAGGAAGTCGAATTACTGAGACAATATTTTTTTTATAACTTTCACATACCTATATATATATATATATATTTTTTTTTTTATTTTTAATCACATTAAGTCCAAACTAAAAAAACATAAAATTTCCATTCTTTTTAAAAATTTTAAAGTCACTTTTTTTAGACATTTAAAAACTACTCCATTTATTTTAATTAAAAATTAATTTTTTAAAATTTACAACAATAGTAATTATTTAAACATAATTTGTAACTAAAAAATTGTAATTATTAAAAATTAAAATAAATTAAAAATGTAACATATATAATTTATTAACTTTAATTAAAGCTGTTATTTCTGCTATATCAAAGTAATGTTAAAAATTGCATTCTTTACTTTTACATATTTTTATTTTACATTTCACTTCAATATTGACTTTTCGAAAAATACTCTTTCGTGTAGAATATTTCATTTATTAATTGATGTATATTTATTGATTTTTTTTACTTTGACTTTAATGATAATTCACATAGTTGTGATAATTGAATTTTTCTTAAAATTGAACAATTGTGAACAATGTGTATAATAATTATTTTTCTTCATATTCTACCAGAAATTGGAAAATATCCTCTTAGAGGTTTTTGAATTAATAAGGAACTCTGTTTTTCTCCGTGATTTTTTTATGCTGCTCGATCAGCAAGTCTAAATATTCTAATTTATTTTCAAATAGGAAAATTCGTTCATTTAAAAAAAAATGTTTAAATATTGTTTCTTAAATTTAAAATACCTTCAGATAAATAAATAATTTGAACTATTTTAAAATTCTGTTTTCATTTTTAGGAAAATTAACATTTTTTTACAAAAATGAATATTCCATAACTAAGATACTGAAAAAAATAAAAATTCAATTATTTTTCGTCGTCAATTTTCTCCTCATAATGATAAAAAATATTTTACAATTCTAATTGTTAAATAACTAAAATTTTAAATAAATAAAATTACAAAGAAGACACATTATTTTAACTAATTATAAAAAAAATAATTATGAAAAATGATAAACAAATTAGAACCTTGCGACACTAGATTCCGTGAACTAGATAAAAAATTAGAGTGTGTCAAAATATAAATTCGCCCATATTTTAATTCTTTAGATTCGTTTTTCATATTATACTTTCTGTATTATCATTTCACTTCTTATAATCTACAATTAAATATATTTATAAAATTCGTAGAATCAATAGAAAGAAAACTAATTCATGAATTAAAAATTTTAATTTCAATATTTTTCATTTTTATGAAAAGTTATTTTTCATCTCTTTTTCATAAGCTATCTGTAATCTGTTTAAAAAAATAGGCTCCGTAAGTTGAGAATAATGCGCGCGCAGCCAAAAAAGTGAGGATCACGAATAGCGATTGGTAAACGCGCTTCCCCCACTCTTAGTGTACGCAGTGTATCTCAACTTAGGTAAACGTAATTTTCCAACTTCGTGTTAAAAAACGAATTATTAACGTGAGAAAAAATTGTTATTATTATTTTGATACACTCTAATTATAAATAGTGTTACATTTACATGATATTACAACCATTTATACATTTGCACTGACAAGTGCTTTACAACGAATGATGCAATTGACAGAAAACACTCGAGACTATATTCCCTAATTGAACGACACCAAACGACTGTAATCATTCTTAAATATATATATATTTTTTTTATATATATTACTCTCGCAATAATACTCTGATATTTTTATTTTGTTTCTTTCTCTTTTTTGTATCGAAATACAATATTAGGTACATCAATAGATAAATAATAATTTATCAAAGATGTTAAATCCTTCAATATTATCGACTAGCGATATGTATCCAATGAGTCAGTAAAGTAATTTTGACAAAAAAAACTCAAAACAATATGAAGAAATTAATTGAATAGTCTCATTACACTAAAAGGAATTTTTTGTTTTAAATTTATTTCGATAGTATAGTAAATTAAAAAAAAATTAAAATGACGTTTTTCCAAATATGAAGTTTCCCGGTGTATTTGGATCATCGGAGGTGAAGTAATCTTTCCAGAGTATCAGAAATTTCTCGCGATTGACTTCGCTGCCCTGTAAAAATTGATAAAATTCTCTTTCCTTTTCTTATTTCGAACAAAATGTTTTTTTTTGTTATTGAATTATAAATTTCGACTAGTTTTTAAATATTTTGAAACAATATAAAAATATTGTACGCAAATATTTAAAACAGAAAAGAAAATAGAGTCATTTTTCGGTGCACATAAGTTGAGAAACACTTGCGGCGCGCCAGAGTGGGGAAACGCGGCAACCAATTATAATTCGCTTTCCCCACTCCTTGTTCGTTGCATGTTCTCAACCTTACGTAGCAAAAGAAAATGCACAGAAAAGTCTTATTAAGATCTGAATATTATATTAATAATATATTTAAATTATATTTAGAATTATTTTCATCATTTTAAAAAGGTTTAAAGTAAATTAATAAACGTACAACTTGTAATTTTTTAAAGGCCTCCCGAGCTTCGCTATCGGTAACTCCGTGATTTCTGCAAACGACACAGAATTCTGATTCGTCAATTGATCCATCGCCTGGAAAATATAAATAAATCAGGAAACTTCATTAAGTGACGAAATTAAATTTTTTTTTCCTTTTTTTACAAGTAGGTACAATTTCAAAGAAATAATGAACAAATAAACGAAGCATTTCTAAAATAAACATCATAATTAGACCACAGACAAATAAATCATCAAAAAAAAAAAGAATAGAAACCAATAAAAAATCAATTCTCTTTCAATTAAAAATTTGCGTTGCTATCAGTAATTAAAAAAAGGAAATTTTAATTACCTGACGTATCTTCAAGATCAAAAACAAAATTCATATAGATCTTTTGCCATTCAGGTGAATTATCTGGATCCTTTGCGTATTCTTCCCACATCATGTACCATTCATCTCGACTGATCTATAATAATTCGGAAATTAATAATTTAATTTTTAACTGAAACTTGTAATTTATTTTATTCTTATTATTATTTTTAATTTTTCCAAATTACCTGACCATCCTGATCCGAATCGGCTCCTTGTTTCAAACCTTCCCAAATTTTCAACAGTGTTCCCTTAGTCTGTTCCAATTTTGCATTGTCAGTTGCCCATCCTCTTGAAGAGCAAATTGACTAAGAAAAAACAGAAAATATAATTTTTCTCATGATTAGAAAAAAAATGACAAAGGAATTTTTTCAATCATGGGAAATTTTCACAAGGAATTTTTTTTTTAATCACGGAAAGAAAATAAAATCTTACTTGAACTGCGAGGTCTAAATCCTTCTTGTCGATTGTGCCACTCTCGTTGACATCTAGAAAAAAATCCAATAATATTTAACTGTCTTTTATCCAAAAAAAAAATTTAGAATTAATTCTACTTTCTAAAACGAAATCACCGCGATTGAAAATATTCTGTTTTTGTAATTCTAATTTTAAAACTCTAAATTTCGTATTCTAAACAACTTTTTTCCTTTTTCTTTGTAAAAAAAGCGTAAATTTCATAAAAAATATTGACACCCTTATTCCATCAAAAAATTGAAAGGAGTGAAAAGCAATTTATGGGAAATTGATAAGTAACAGACAAAATCTGAATGGTAGAGGCGAACAAAACGTTTGGAACTTTAATAAATTCCAGAAAGATTTAACGAAGGATTTTGCTTGTCATATAAAACCGATATTACGATATACATAGTAACATATATACATATATATGTTAGTCACAGACTCTTTAATACGACGGTATATAATCATACTACCACTTTATAAATGAAGCTCCTCAAGTGATCTCAATTCGTGGCATGGAATCAATAACGAAATCATAAAAGCATCTCACACAACGAGTAAAGTGACTACATTCAATTGAATATTGTAACCACATTTTTTTCCCTCATTTTACGTCTGAGAGAAAGAAAATGTCCGCTTCGACGCCGACCTTCAAATCATTTATTATTATTTTCAATTAAAACTTTCATCTGTCCCGACGTTTCGATTTCACATATATATTTTTTTTTCATTATAATATTGTACTTCTCAACTCGTTACATGTTGACTGAAAAGAATGTATGACTGTATCTGTATAAAATAAATAATAATTTTAATTAGATTCAAATATTATATATTAATTTTTTTATTTCATGAATAATAAAGAAAGTGAAAAAGAAAGTTTAAAGGAGCCCGCCATATAGTTTGAGATCTTATTGGCGGAGGGATTTCAAGGTCGACGTTACCGTTTACCCCTACTTACGACGGGCCGGCCAATCATCGTATAAATAGGACACGCACGGTAACTGAGACTCAGAATGATTTGGACCATCTCAGGGTAGAGAACTCTACACAGAATTTTTATGCAAACAATTAATATAATTTTAAACTTTAGAAATTAATATATTTACAGTTGAAAATTATTTTTAATCATTGTTACACATTAGTAAAATTGTAATTAATTTACAATTCAAAAAAAGCGGAATATCAATTTACCGAAATTACTATTTTAGATTTTAATTTTTTTTAATAATTACTATATCCTGGAAGTAAATTTATTAGAATTTAAACTATATAAAAAAATTTTTTTAAATTCGCTCGATAAATTAATTTTAACGAATTAAAGTTTATTCTACCAGTTATAGAAGCAGTGCGCCTATAAAGCTTAATTAATAATTGTGTTTCGACTTTGTGGTACACGAATATTTACATATAAGCGAGGCGAAGTTAATATTGACCTAAGAGTGCACCTTTCGTTAATTCGAATGACTAAATAATCAGTCATGCTTACTTAATTTGGTAGCATTAATCAACGAAGAGATAAAAATTATTATTAAAATATTTGTCTTCCTTTTTTTTTAATTAACAATAATCATTTTTATTCAGGAGAAGAAAATTACACAAGAAATTCTTTTTCTAGCCTCGATGTATAAGTACTTTGACGAAAAATGTTAAACAGCTAAATCTCTAATGAAAAGGTGTGCTTTGAGTTGGCTTCCTATAATTAAGCAGTCTTCATTAACAAGAAGCGCAAAGATACCAGCTACAGTGCGGGAAAGTTCAGCTTTCGTATGTTTGACGAATACAAAATTTAGAGAGAACAACATATTTTATAAGATTAATTATTAAAGACAGTTCCCGTTATTAAAATATGGGAATTGAAAATGTTTTCTTTCACATAAGTAATTTTTTTCTTTTTGTTTAAATTCGGTTTATTGTTAATATTTTATTAATTAATTTAGTACAATTCTTTCTGCACATGGAGAACATTTAAAAAAATGTAATTTTCTCAAACTGTACGTAACAATTTTTTGTGTGCTTTGAAGAAGTTGAGAACACCGTGGGCGTCAATGGTAAAAAGAGGGGACAAGCGCTCGCAGCAAGTAGTGATTGGTATTCGCATTCCCCCACCCAAGCGCGGACAGTGTTTCTCAACTAAAAAGCTCCTGGTGCTCGAGGCAAATATGAATTAATTTTAATGATTCTTAAAATAAATTATTAATTAATTAACGATCTAATTAATTATCTCGGATAAGAAATAAAATAAAATTATTTCTCGATGAAAAAATACTTTCTATCGAAAGTGATTAATTTTTTCTCTCTTACGTTTCTTTGTAATATGGGGACTAATTAAATAACGGTTTGTTGGATAAAATCAGTAAACGATTGATACAGAGAGCTGTCGGGTGTGAATTTTTTAAATTACGAGCAGCGAATTTTTATCGAGGAATTGTCCAGGTCGCGTTGAAATAATGTATCCCTTGGGTTATGTTTAGCGACGTCGACGGTCAAAGTGAAGAAAGTGAGGGGCTAATGAAAGCTACGAGGCGTGTACACACTTGTGACCTCCATGTACCCCACATATACATTAACCCTCTCTCACACAAACATACATACATACTAGAAACATTAACACATTATTAGGTCCGTAAACGAGTCGCGTTTCCGCGCAAACCCCTTGGCATAGACGCGCTTCCATTGTTTACTCTTCGTTAGTGTGCGACTTTCTAACCCATAAATAGGCATACAGTTTGCTCACTTTTACACTTTTAGTTAAAGAGCCCAAGCTTTTATGTGACGCAAATTTTTTTTTTTTTTTTGAGGAGGAAGTCGGCCATTATGAAGAATTCGTTCAACGACCGGCAAAGGCACGTCTTAACGAATGTGGTTACAGTTGATGTATATTTTTTTAAACTTTTCTCTCTCTTCGAATTCTCAATAGGGGAAAAAAAAGAAGTGTGTAGAAAATTGTTATAAAAGTAATGTCGTCACACTCTTCGAAATGTTGACCTGGTTTTTTTTCGAAGTGAATTGGGGCTTCGTTGCTGTAAGGGGAAAATTTACATTATTCAAAACACTGTTAAATAATTCCGCTATTTCAAGTTCTTTGCAATTTTATTATTTACCGAGATTCCATTTTGGAGATTTTTCACTCGCGGTGGAAATGTGCGAGGCACGACAAACTTTTTTTTTATCGTATTTGTCCAGCAGCGAGTGATTGTAATGGGACTTTGCAGAAGTTGAGGGATTACTGTAGATAGATATAGAGTAACACTTTGCGAGTGTAAAATTGGAAGGGAAAAAAATATATTTAGAAAGTTGTATTATTTAAAGAAATTAAAAAAAAAAGTAAATTTACTTTTAATTTTCACGTATTTAAAAAATGTTGCTTTGTCACATATTTGCGACACAGAAATAAAATCTGGTGGTGAGAGATATGATTAAGGGAAAATCGATCCGCGACACTTTTTTTTTATTTGCAATTATTTTAAAAGCTATTGAAAAAACTGGGTTTTAAGATTATTATTTATTTACAATAATTAAAAACATTCGAGTGTAGTAAATATAATTCTAATTCTCGAAAGTTAAAAAAAAATATCACATTTCCATTTTATATAAGGGAACCAACAGATGAATAATAATTAATTAACTCTGCAATTAAGAGATTCTATTATTGTTTCATGTGTGAATACAATTAAGATAATTTTCTTTTTTTATTTAAAATATCAAAAGAATTTATTTCTCACGAATATAAAGCAAAGGAACGTTAGAAATTAAAGCGAAATGTTACCAAAGGTAGGCGAATTTCCTTTCTCGAATATATTTACGTATGAAAGAAGCGGACACAATTTTTCTTAGCTTTTTTCGTCCTTAAATCCTTAAAAATTCCTACCACGGAGTAAATAAATATTTCATAATTTTACTGGCAATTTTTTTTTAATAGACGAAAAAGTCAAGTTAAATTAAAATATTTATAAAATATTATAATTAATATTTTTTAGATAATTAAAAAAAAAATTCAAAATGTCAGATACAATATGAAAGATTAATTACAAACTGATCGAATTCTTTTATAACTTTATAATTTATTGTCATTTTATATTAAATTTATTAATCATTATTTTCATTTCGAAAATTTTATTTTTACTCTAAATCTAGATAATAATAATTAAAAAATAAAATTAATAGAAAAATATTATTTTTTAATTAGTAAAATTATCCTTTTTACTTACCAAAGAATGTATTGAAAACGAAGAGCAGCTTTTTCTTACGAAATTCTGAGAGCGGCATTTTTTTATCTGCAATGACAAAAAAAACATCAAATAAGTATTTAATTAGTTTAATTAATCTTTGAAGAAAAGAAAGTGAACCAAAAAATAATAACCACGATTTTAGTTCAATTTCTTTATATAGTATTTCAGTTTATATGAAGAAATCCCGTAGAATTTCTTTAGTTGAATATAAAAAAAAATACGAATTTATTTTAAAACGAATATATAACTTCTATATAAGAAAGATTTTATCAAAATGATAATAAAAAAGTCTTCTTTCTATATTCACGACACTTTTTATATTGAATCGATTGTAATTCTTTTTGATAGCTCATGCCCACGAGTTGTAATTAACAATGACGCAAATTGTTTATTGTTTAAAAAAGAGAAAAAAAAAATTTATAGCACTTCTCTGTTAATAAAAACTGGTTTTTTGTCTCTTTCTCGTTTCTAAAAATATTCTCGAGAGAGATTTTTCAACGTCTATCTTTATATTGTATAATACAGAAATGCTATTAAAATCTCTTTTATTACAATAACGAATTCTAGTTTTTTTTTTTATCATTATTCAAACTTTGGATATCTCGGGGAAAAAGACAAAATCTGATTTGTATGTTTACAAATTTACACTGGGAAATAAAAGTCGGAATTTATCCCCTGGGATCAGCATCCCTAAGGATCAATTTTTTTTCATCTGTAGAATGAATTTATTCCTGTAGGAATCAATTTTAATTGTGGCTTTTGAGGGACGGAATTTTTTTTATTAAATGATTATTAAATTTTTAAATTGAAATTTAATTGTGAATAAAATTAAAAAAATTGAATTAAAATTTTAATTATTATATATACAACTGAATGAAATTATATAAAAAAAAGAAAACGATATGTATTTAGAAATTAGAAATTAAAAATTATTAAATTGTTAATTCTTAATACAAATTGTAATATAGAAAGAAAAAATTAAATAATGTAACTTTCATAATTGACTGAAATAATTTTCGTTTTTTTGGATAGAAAATTGATTAAAAAAAACAATTACACGAAACACGTGAATCTTAAGAAATCACTACCTGGAGGATGCTGAAAGCTACAAGGTCAATCTTGACGTCAGTATATGCAAAGACCGCAGCTTATACAATAATCTTTTAATAGTTAATTCACTCAAATTTTATGAGAAGAAAAGAGGAAGAAATTCTCAATTAATTAATTTTTTATTTACACATTTCATTCTTCCACTTCGAATTCATCTTTTTTTACCTACAATTTTCATGATTGCTATAATATATTGAATTAAATACAGCCAATTGACAAAAATTTAAATTAAACAATGATAAAAAATTATTTATTAATTAATAATAGTATTATAATTATATTAATAAATTTTAGAGAAACTATAAAATAATAATTTTAAGTAACTGTATATAAAACTTCAAATTTTCAACACAAGGGAAAAAAATTTAATAAATCAGATTATTCATTCACAAGCTCGGGGATAAGCGCATTAGAAAACGTAAAAAATTTAAATATATCCGACGGAAAGAGGTGTGTATAAAACTCGAGGAAATCATGAATATGATACAAACTGTCTGGAGATTTTTAGAGTTCCTCCTATTTTTTCTTCCCCTCAATAATTTATAATTAAAAACACACAAAGGAAAATGAATGAAATAATAATAAAAAATAAAATTCAAACTTATGTCTAGAATTTTTAGAACTATAAATATTAAAATTAATTTTTATGAAAATTTAAATGAAAAAAAAAAATTTTTAATTGGACAACAAATGTGACAAATATTCTACTATTAATATTTTTGATAAGTTTAAAAAATTCTCTCCCCTCTGACATATATTTAAAGTATCTTTTTCCCTCAATACACCTGATAAATTTTGGGGGGAGGGATTTTTTAACACCCCTAAAAGATAGTAATAATAAATTATAGTAATAATAATAAAAATAAAAAATGCAAAGGTTTATGGAATGAAAAAAAAAGAAATAAATATACACTCAATTCTCAAAATGTCAGACATAAAATCTATGGAGCAAAAAGTTGTCATTTTCATTGATTTTACATTATACGAATCGTTTATATATACCAATATTATGTTTATACGAGGAAGGTACTTATTTTCTTATGAGACAAACAGATTTTTGCATCCGCACATCAATCGTTTCAGATAAATAAAAATTCGGTATTAAACTCTCGAGACTGACTTTAATTCGAAAATTTCCATGGAAATAATACCATATAGAATATAGTACCCTACTAATACGAAATCATTGGAAACTCCTTGAAGAAATATTTTACTATATAATTAAAAGTTAAATAAAATTTGAGCTACCTTTAAATAAAAACAGAATACGTAATCGGTTAAAATTATTTTTATTCAAAAAAGAATTATATAAATTAAGTCAAATTTTTTCTTCTAAAACTGAAATAATAAAATAATTTTTAAAACTCATAATAATATATATAGAAAGAAATAGTCGAAATAAAAAGTAAATCTGAATTTCCTAAGGGATATGACAAAATTCTGAAGATCTAATCTTGTTAAGAAAAGAACAGCGGGACATTATAATTTCGAGCTGTAATGGCAAGGATTTAATCTTCAGTGACACGAGAACTTTCTTGATTAAATTTTTGAATGCGGGAAAAAAAATTATTTAAATCAAAAGTAAACTTTCGTAGAAATTGATAAAAAAAAATGTAACGCACCTTACAACACATTTAGGGGTAGAAAAATATTTAAATTTCTTTTATTTCTCACTTTTATATTTCAAATAATATTTTTTTTATTTTAACTACATAAAATATTCTGCAAAAATAGATAAAAAAGAAGTCATTCGAATTTATTTTTGGAAGAAGAGGCTCGCAGATTTTTGCGATGTAGAAAAATTGCCGACAATCGTAATATACCGAAGAGATGATCATTCAGGATTAGGATCTTATATATATATAAAAAAAAAGAATCGTTTGCTCACATCCAATTTCTCTGGAATGAACGGATGATCATTACCCCAGACCCTCGACAATAGTGCGTAAAAATAAAAGTCTTTTCCAAGAGGTTATATAGGCCCATAGAACGTAAGTACAAATGCAAAAGGAAAAATGGTCACTGGGGTACAATATAAAAGATCCATCTGTGAAATGTTTCACCAGGCAAAAGAAAATGTAGGAAAGAAAAAACGTCACCATTCAAGTCAAGTAACTGCGGATTTCGATTTTTTTTGTCATCAGAAGATTGAAGGACAACGTCGCAGAAAAAAATCTATGGGAATCTCTATGGGAACTTGTTAGATTGTTAATATCCAATTGTTTTTTGCTGATACCAATAAAAATCGTATCTTATTCAACTTATTAATTAATTATTTATTTATTTGAAAACATTAAATGAAAATATAAAAAAAATTGAATATAATGCAAATTTTTATTACAATAAATCACAAATTTCCAAGAATACTTTACTTGTAAAATAAAATCAATTGCGAAGGTCAAGTGTAAATATTTTAATCTTTTCAATATTTCGCGAATTTTAATTAATGAGCTTTTCATCGCGTGTTTAATTTTACAATTTCTCGAGAAAAATAATTAACTGTGAAGTAGATTTTTATTATTAAATTTTCGTTTTGAAAATAATTTATATATATCGATCATCCAAACCAAAATAGCTGAAATCTTATATTTAAATCCTAATATATATTCTATTATTTCAATTAAATAAGCACACAAAGTAAAATTTATTCTCCGCTGAAAAAAAAATGAAAAACTCATCCTATAGAAATTGTGGAATGCCATATAATTTTTACGTCTTTTGTTTGAAAAAAAATTCGAAACAAGAAATTATTTTAATATTATATTTTTCGAAGTTGCGAGTAAGAATGTTTAGCTCGTCATTTGAGAAAAAAAATTTTAACTTACACAAAGTAATAATTAAAATTTTTCATATCCCTTTGTGTTTTTAATTATTAATTTTTTTTTATCATACAATACTTACAATTTGTAAATTGTAGAATAAATGTATAATTTAAATATATTCGTAATTTTCAACAAGGTTCTTTGTACAAAAAAAAAAAATGATACATATATATTTACTTTATTACATTCACAAAAACGATGTCAGCAGTTGTCCAGCGTAAAGCTACATTTTTCGGTAAATAAAAATCATAAAAAATAGGTATAAAAAAAGTTTTCAATTACATTTTTTTTTACACACACTAACGTATAAAATTTAAAAAGTGAACTTTTCCCCTTTCGACATATTACACTCAGGTCACGAACCTTTTGTCCCTTGACGCATTTTGTGATTTACCTCGAGCTAAAGCGTGAAGAGACAAATGTCTGACAGAGAGGTTTTCGAAAAAAATTGTCAAAGAACGTTTCACATATATATATATATATATTATATTCCAAGCCTTCGAGCATTATATTCCCATACTCACAAAGCTATTAGTGATTAGGAACAAAGAAGAAGTACTTTTTATCGTTTGCAATTTTTTTTTCTATCGCCAATGGCGGTCCTTTCGTGGCAATTTTTACAAGAAAAAAAATTCATGTTTGACCGATAAAAAAGTGAGGTTAAAATTTTTTTAATTAGTCTCAACTAAAATTAAACAACTTTCAAACAATTTGGCAATTACTTTTTGATATTAGTTTTAAACTTATTATTTTGAACTAGTTTCGTACAAGAGTTTTTTTTATAAACGATTAGGGAAATATTCTATAGATTCCGATTAATTTGATTTTTTTTTTATAAAAACAGTTTAAAAAATTTCGACAGATTTTAGGAATTTATTTTAAACAAGTAGAAACGTTTCAAAATTTATTACAATTTTAGTAATTTTCTAATAATTTAAAACTAGTTTCAAACCAGTTTTAAACTTAATTGGGACTACTTCGAACTAATTATACACTTTTATTTTACATTACATTTTGTAAAATGTTAAATTATTTTTAAATAATATTAAACTAGTTTGGAACAATTTTTTAATTTGTTTCAAATAATATCAGAAAAATTAAAATTGTTTCGAA